TCTAAAGGTCCTTGTAAGGAGTTTTAATTGCGAAAGCCGTGCGTGTTATGTTGGAAACCCTCGCGAAAGTTTTTTTTCGAGTTCGCCAAGGTAAAATTTTATTTCGCGAAAGTTTCGCGAAAGTTGGGTATTATAATCATTATATGTAAAGGGCTGCTACCCACTGCCGCCCGGGGTCCGGCAGGAGAAGGGCACCAGAGAATGCGAGTAGCAGCAGCCAAGTTTCCAAAAGTGAGGCTTTGCGAGAGCCAAACACCAAGGCCCCTGGTCTTCGCTTTTCCTTCAGTGCACCCCCTGCTGATGGCCGAGGTCTGTGAATACGGATATTTTCACGAAAGTTCCGAGAAAGTTATGCGAAAGAGCGGGCGAAAATCAAAGTGCATGTTGAAGGGGGTGGGCCAGTAAACTTTGCAAAAAAAACCGGCCTGAGAAGGGATTCCGTGATGCTAGCTGCATGTTTAAAAGGATACCAAGAAGTGATCCGTGATTCTCTGGCGTAATTTGGCAGGTGGTGAACGAATCTTCATAAGAGGTGTTGTTGGCCAACATGGGCCCCGCGAAAGATAAACATGGAGTTCGCGAAAGTTTCGCGAAAGTAAAATGTTTATTCGCGAAGAATGGCCGTTCCGGGATAAAGGAATTTTGATCAACAACCATATATATATATATATATCACATGAACCCACAGTGGCAGCAATCAAAATGATCGCCACTTCAGTATGGCACATTCAGTTTTAAGGCGTACGCACCGACATAAGGTTAAAAATCCAGCGTTTAGAGGTGAAATACCTATTGTTGGCAACTTGTTGTGGACAAACGGCTGTTTGAATTCCCGTTAGCAAAGCACATTCCGCCTGCTCCGCTGATTCACCTGGTTTCTTCACGTCGTGTCCAAAAAAGATCCAAAAAGTCAGGAACTCACTGTGGACCCATCACTAAAAAGGTCGGATAAAGAGTTATGTAAATTATCTTTGTTTGGGAAGTCCTGCCCTTGGATATTTTTGGATTTCCGCACTGGGCCCAAGGAAACGATCTACAAAATTACTCCCAAGGTGCCAGGACAGAAGTGCTTCAAAGGGAAGGCTGTTGAAGCCGTTGGGCAAAAATTGAAGGAGTTCATGAAACAGTTCGCCCTGGAAGATGGGGACTTACAGCTGGATGAACTCTCTTGCCATGACCAGCGGTATGCCTATGAGCATGAGACCGCCGCCTCAATTTGCACAGAGCCTGTTGCCAAGAGACAGCTTCAGCACTTGATCAAGTCAGACCCCCAGTGCCTTGAAGATTTGAGAATTAAGAAGGAAAGCGGGTACGAGCTGCTGGCACTCGACATGCGCAAGAATTTTAAGATCAGCCCCATTGGAATAGTACACAACCGAACCGGATTGTTGGAAATTCCAGAAACAACATCCACAATACTTTCCAAGGGCGACCAGCTTGTATTTCTGATGCAGGATGATCCTACAAATATAAAGAACCGCATGCATAAGTTGAACAAGGGAGACCATGAATTTGAGAGACGCCCGCTCCCACCGTTCGAAGAGTGTTCTGAAGGAGCTGCTGTTCTGAAGATTAAAGAGGCTAGAGACCCACCGCCCCTAACCCCCCCAAAAAAGAGACGGGGGGTAAGGGTGGGAAGTCACAAGGGAAAGGGCAGCAACAAGACGAAACACAGCAAGGAGGCTAAATACATGGCGTTGCAAGGACCAGAAGGGCAAGCTAAATGAGAAGGGCAAGCCAAATGAGAAGGGCAAGCCAAATGAGAAGGGCAAGCCAAACGCAAGAAGCCAGATGTAATTAGACTCAGGATTTCATTTTATTGGTGGCACCTGGGAGGGTTTTGTCCAATAGCTTGTCAAGTTTCTGAGATGCGCACCGTTGCGGCAAAAAGGAGCATGTCAGGGTATCTCGGGCCCAAATCCAGTGCTTTTGCTCCCGGCCTTTTTGTGCCCCTCCGGACGCCGTAAGATAGCAAGCGCTACACATGTCAGAATGACTGCCCAAGTAAACGCCAGAGTTGGTGTCAGGATGCAGGTGAGAATATGTGTCATTCTATGTCAGGCTAAATTTACGAGAGCATACGAGAGCAAATGCCCGAATAAATTCCATTGCATTTAAAATATGTTGGGTAGATGTCAGAATGTATGTGCGGACAGATGGCGATGGAGAAAGATACGTCAGGACAATGCCCGAACACATACGCAGAATCAATGTCAGGAAATACGTGTGTCAGTTTTTTCTTTGCTGTATTCGCAGCACCAGCTCCGACACCGCAACTATTGTTGTTGGACCTTTGCAAAGTTTGGCGGCGGAAGGTAGTGTGCCGACCCAAGCAAGAAATAGGGTCGCATATCTTCGGCAACGGCGGAATAACTCTTTTTCATTTGCATATTCTGAAGTCGTAGCATCAAATTGTCAATTCTTGTTGTATGCTATTGTATACTCACTCGTACCATGCGTATCCATTGTGATGAATTTGGCTGTGAGGAGAAAGTTGCGGTGGAAAAAGATCTTGCATTCAGACTGCAGCGGATCAAGGAAATTGAGTCTGGAATGCCACAGAAGGCAGGAACATTCCTTTGCTATCCCTTCCTGTGGAAGGAAATGTTTCATGGATGGCAATGCAAAACCCCCATTGAAAGATAATGAAAAATATCACAACGGACAGATCTATTTAAAGATTCAAGATGTGTCCCTGCAAAAACAAACTAAAAGGTTGAGATTTTCAACTGGATAGCTTCATCACTACGGGATACTTGGAGGCTCATCATTTATAACAGTTTATAGCATGACAATAAAGTTCAACCACTCACCTCCCGGGATCGCAGGTCCAACAGCTGCAGCACTTGCAGCAGTTGGAGCAGCAGAAAGAAGCCGAGTATATGAAGATGTTGGAGGTGGGTTACCATCCATCCCCAGTCACCAAAAATGGTCGAAAAAGTTGAATGATTTGGGTACCATGGTAGGTAGCCCATTAAAGGGAAATCCCGCTTACTAAAGAACACTATTGTGACCATGGTCTACTGCATGGTGACCATGGTGAAAACACCGCGCTTTGAGACGTGTAGATGTTCCTCGTAGATTTGGCCCATGAAATCAGCCGATGGTTGGTGTGAGTTGGTTTGGCTGTGAGCAGATGTGTTAGAAGCGTGGCAGGTTTATCAATTATCAACGGTACAAGTAAGGAAGATCGGGATCTCTTTTTGTATCAATTACTCATCAAAAAATGAAGATGGGTTACGTTTTGGCCGTGCAATTTTCGAGAGCGACAGTTGCATTTACAAATCAGAAGGGGTTGAGCTACCCTCATCACAGCAGTGACTTAAGCAGCTGGCTCAGGCGACACCTACTTTGGTCCAAGTTCTGAAGAAGTGAGACGTTGCCGTGGCGTTTATCGATGTCAAATTGACATGGGCTTTGATACATAGTTTGGCTGCCATCCTTTCACCTGTGGATAACGACAGTCCTGCAAGTTGTTGCCGCGACCTAGGCTCCTGAAATCCAATTCAGAAGTGTCAGAAATGAGCAAAGAGGAAAATCGCTGCAGAAAAATTGAACGAAGTGTTCCTGCCTCACTTTTCTTCCTAATAGTTCCTAATGTAAGGTACAGCATGCTACAACTATGTACAAGCTGGCATGATGTTCCTCGCCTCCTCAGACATCTGTGCCCGTCCCTGATAGTTCCTGCCCGTCCCTGCCTATGTTGCCCAAGTCTTTCCAGAAGTCTCAAGATATCTCAAGATTCATTTAAATCAATTTAAGTCCTCACTTAGCTTGCCGTGTTACTGTTCGGTCTCTAAAAAAACTTAGGTGATGTGCGCATTCGAGATTCCCGTCTTCAAATACATTTCCAAGTTATGGACCGAGCGTGGCTACAGTCTGGTCGCTGTGCTCGGCTTTTCGGAGCTTGTGCTTGAGCAGATGTTAAGCTGCCACTTGGGAATTCCCAAGCAATCACCTTCACAATAGTGGCCTGTTGCACACAAAACAACATAATTATCATAATTACACACGATTGCGCACAGTTTTGATTTGATATCAAAAACATCTCAACAGTATCACTGTATCACATAATATATCATATAATTATCTCACTATATGAGCATGTTTAGAGATCCAGGCCTGTGCCCCCAAGTCTTAGGTCATGGCATTGCGGTGCTTCCTTTACGGAATCATCCCCAGAAATCAGCGCCTTGTCTCAAGTGATGTGTTTTCTCATCTGAAAGGCTGACTGATCCAAGGATGGGGTGTGTATTCCTCCAACCTCACGGCAACCCAGATTGAACTGTTTGTTCTCTGAAAAAGTCTGGGTTTTGAAGGAAGCTCATGCACCAGTTCACCTAACCATTCATCAGCTACTCAATATGACTTTGCAACATCTAAGGCCAAAAGAGGATGGATAATCTTTTCGGACTTGGCATGTTGTCAAGGCATCACTGCAAAGGTGACACCATGATCAGCATGACATGATGTTACCCAAAGGTAAAGAGATCCTGGGGGTCTCCATCTCTCGCGCTCTCTCTCTATCTGTCTATCTATCTATCTGTCTGTCTATCTATCTGTCTATCTGTCTATCTATCTATCTGTCTGTCTATCTGTCAGTCTGTTTGTCTATCTGTCTGTTTATCTGTCTGTCTGCCTATCTGTCTATCTATCTATCTGTCTATCTGTCTATCTATCTATCTATCTGTCTGTCTGCCTATCTGTCTATCTATCTATCTATCTGTCTGCCTATCTGTCTGTCTATCTGTCTATCTATCTATCTGTCTATCTATCTGTCTATCTGTCTGTCTATCTGTCTATCTATATATCTATCTATCTATATGTCTGTCTTTCTGTCTATCTATCTATCTATCTGTCTGTCTATCTGTCTATCTATCTGTCTATCTATCTATCTACCTGTCTATATATCTGTCTATCTGTTTGTCTATCTGTCTATCTATATATCTATCTATCTATATGTCTGTCTTTCTGTCTATCTATCTATCTGTCTGTCTATCTGTCTATCTATCTGTCTATCTATCTGTCTATCTATCGATCTATCAATCTATCTATCTATCTAGCTGTCTATCTATCTATCTGTCTGTCTATCTGTCTATCTATCTATCTATCTGCCTATCTATTTGTCTATCTATCTATCTATCTGTCTATCTATCTATCTATCTATCTATCTATCTATCTATCTAATCTATCGATCTATCTATCTATCTATCTACCTATCTTTCCAAGTATCTTTCTATAGAATTTTCTTTCTTTCTCTATCACCTTTCTATCTGTCTATCGGAATATACATATTATATGCAGTATGTGTGTGTTGTAAACATTCACATCCCAAGACCATCAGCCCAGGCCTTGGCTGGTTCTCTTGGTCGAACCGCTCCATGGCTTTACCTTCGCTGCTGCTTGGTGTGCCACGGTGACCTACGCCTCACGCCTGGCCTTGCCGGGGACTGAAGCTAAGATGCAGGCACTGATCAACGGCACCTGGGATGCAGTGACTTGTTACCATTTAAGTCATATTGATAAATATCATATAGAAGTATATTGATTGATTTACAAATGATATTTGATGGTAGTGGGTCAAAGCCTATGAAATTATCATATTTGGAAGATGGAAGAATAACCATCCATTAACCAGCTTTTTTGGGGGAGGTACCACGGTTTTGACCCATACCATAATCATATTTATGATATTTATGATTTTATAATGTTTGTGATGATTATATATGATATTGATAAAACGATTGCTGCGCCAAAGATATGATATTTATGGTATATCAAACGGTTGCTGTAGATAATATATGATATTTCTAGTGGGTTTTTCGCCCCATTTGTGGGGGATGTGCAGTGGAATTTAGATCTCAGAACGAGTACTGAAATTGTCAACATCATCATGGCGGTAATGTTAAGGGATGAAACCATGACGTGAGATGGTGATGAGAGTTTCATTTGGGAGCCTTTCAAGAAACCAGTGCGCAGTGCAACCTCGGCACTCCTGTAGCTGCGTGCGCTTGCATATTGTGCTTGCATGTACCTGAATCTCCGCATCAGTTGCTGATCTCTGAAGACAGTACGGCAAATCTCAGTTGTGGCATGTTGTGGCAGTGTGCTTTCTCTTTGCACCCACTGTATACAAGGCTTGAATTTCAACGTGGCCTTTGCATTGGGTTCATTTGCTTGGGGATGCGCATCCCAAAATCCTCCAGCTGGGCTTGGCTTCACGCGGTGCTTCTTCTTGGACTCTTGGTAGCGAGCTGTTGCCAGTGGCATCTGGGTTGGGTAGGAGGCTTTGAATGCAATAGTTCAGATTCAAGATGCGTCAAGAAGGATGGTATGATTGTTGGCATTTGTTGGCAAAGCTTGGCCGGTGGGATCCAAGATAATCCAAGCAGGCTTGCAAAATGATTTCATGAAACCAATATGAAATGATGACAGCACTACCCACCAGAGATATACGAACAGTGTCTAGTGGTCGACATAAGCAACGTGCACCAAGGGATCCCAGGGCAACGTCACATCACAACCCTTTAGCCACCAGTGTGGAAGTGATTGTTCAGCCGTCCGGTCTGTCAGGATGCGGCTCTCACCGCAGGGTGGTTAGCAATTTGGGCCAGTGGTTTCGCAGCAGCGCGTTACATTTCTGCGAGGCGGAGGACACGTCGCTAGAAGTTGCAGGTTGTGGACAGATGGATCAGATGGCGGAGCGATATGCGATCGGCTCTGGGGGAAGCACGTTTGGGAGCAGCAGTGAAGTTGAATGATGTTGAATGGAGTTGAGAAGGCTGACAGCCCAAATCACGATACTTCAACCCTTCCCCTTTCAAGACGGGGCCTCAATTTACACGATTGCTTTGAGATGCCTTTGGACTTTGCAAAGACTGTCGCCCGGCCGTGCCTAAGCTAGGCACTCGTGTTGTGTCGGGCACTCATGAACAAGCAAAAGAGAAAGAGCGGGCAGTTGTTTTTTTTTCATGGCCAGAAAGTAAAACTCAGCTCCATATCTGAGAACAACTTAGAAAGACCATAAAATCCATAAAGACTCCTTGTAATTGTCGCAGTGGAAACCGTTGTGTCCACAAAATCAAAGACAACAATGTCAGCAGTGCAGCAGCTAAGCTAGTGGCAAATTCGGCTGCAAGGAGGTGTTGGAAGCACTGCAGGGGCTTCTTGGAGCTGCTGTGGGGGAGGAGATGCTGTGCTGGCATTGCTGGCATGGAATTGTTTGGCAACCACACATATTGGCAACATTGGTGCTGTAGGATTGTATAGGCATAGGCTGGCGGTTTAAATATGGTTCAACATGATTCAACTACAGTATGTTTTATGTTTTATATGTTCATCATGGGATTTGACCACCATTTTCTATCATTTTGGTGGTTGAAACCGCCAACCAAATATTTGGTTGCGCGAGTGACGATTTTTGTGTCCTGGTGTTGCAATTTCAGGAGCGCAGCTTGACAGCAGCAGGGCAGGCCACAAAGGACGGACTTTAGCATCACCACTTAAAACCCCAAGTTTACATCATTCATTCATCATTAGTTAGTAAATTAGTTAGTACACTATTAGTAATACATCATTATTAGTACACTATTAATACATTATTTAATACATCATTAATTGTACACTATTAGTTAGTTGTACACCAACGTTAGCAACCACGACCTGGGGCCCCAGCTGTTCCCCCAGGACACGGTTGCCTCGGAAGTCTTCCTTCGTCAGCTGCTGGAACGAGGGCCGCTGCAGGAGTTGCAGCTACGGGTGCAGTGGGGAAGCTCAGGAGCCACGAAATCCAGCATCGATGGAGGATTCTATGGAGATGGTTGATATATGTTGATATCATTCCACCATGCTTTGTTTTTGGGTGTGAGATCATGGGGATATAAACTAAGAATAACTATATAAGATATATTTCTAAGATTATATACAATAATATACAATCAATAATTTATTGAAGAGTTTTTTGGGTTGTCCTGGATATCCCAATTATTGGATGTAACCCCATCACTGGTAAGTAAGGATAAATTACCCACAGTTTATTATTGCGGGGTTCACATTACAATCCCATGATATACCAAAGAATTGGGAGGATTCAGCTTGATGAAGCGTTGTATTGGATACGATCGGGTAGTTCCATTGGGATAAGTCATGGTGTTATAGTCAGTTGGTATCCAAGTAAACCAACCAACATGGGATGTTAATCAATCTCCGCAAAACGGGTATTTGATGTGGGGTAACTGGAATGGGGTTTCAGTAACGAACATGGGGAAAAAGCCATGCGTTCGTTCGGGATATATATATATGGATATATTGCTATGTCATGTGGAGATGTATTGTGGATATAAACATGAAGTGGGGATACAATGGGAGTACAGTTGTAATATGTTGTAATGCTGGATTCAAACCACCATTTGACGCAGAGATCATGGGTAATTGGATGGGATGGAAGTGAGACAGCCAGAATTCATTGGACCGTGAGGATTTCCCACTTTCCATTGGAAAAATCTATGGGGCGCCTGGGAAAAAGGGGATCATGATCATCCCTGGGTCCTGAAATGGGTCACTTACATCCATTGCGGAAGGTGAAATGGTGACAAGCAATTGGTTACGGGTACCCTATTCCTAAAGCCTTACGCAGATGCTACCTGCAGCAAGCATGATACATTGCTATCTTGCACGGCGTACCGATGTTCCAGAATCCATGAAACTTGGCATTGCATAACTTGTCTTGACATCAACGTCAGCATTTAGAGTTTTCCTGTGTGCCGATGTTCCAGATGTCTCCCCCCCGGGCTTCGCAAATTTGTGCACGATACATGATGATACATCACCTATGCAGTAATGACTAATAAAAATAATGGTGATGACAATGATATATAATATGATGATACTAGTAATAACAATGAAAATCATAGCCAATAATGCGTACTAGTTGGTGTCCGTACAGTATGTCCTTTCCAGTCCAACTACCAGCTATGGAGGTTGAACTTGGATATGGCGCGCTTCAACCCGAAAGCCAATGACTTGGAGAGTGGGTTGGATGCTCAGAGCATGTTGTGTCCGGAAATAAGGTACTTGTAGTGTACCATCCCCAAAATCACCATAAATAGATATAAATAGGTTGTACAAACCATCCCAAATGGTACGTTTATTATTGGGTTTACCACATTATACTTTCTAGTAAATGCACAGCTCGACCCTGAAGACAATAGAGGGAAAACTCATCTTCCAGCTCCATTCGGCAGCGTTTGTGTTGATACAGCGATCTGTGGGATCGTTCCTCTGGTAAGGACTCACAGTTTGCTTTCGAGCCTCAGCTTTTTTTGAGTAGATAAATCATCTACTTAAGTGGGCCATGTTCACCCATGTTCATCCATTTTCCATAGCTATCTTAACTTCCCAGAGGCTCCCATTTTTTTGGGACAACCCCCGCAGCCATCCGGGTGCCATGTCCATCATGTGGAGAGGTTGGACCTGGCGTTGACTGCGGCCTGGAGCATCATCGACTCCAAAGCGATGCCAGTACTTTTGGAGGGCATCCTCCTACTAGGCAGGGCCGATGGGTAAGAAACAAAAAATGACCTACTCAGGTACTGGGTATCACAAGTCTATGGGGGATACAATGGAAATATCATGATGATAGAACTGCATAACCAACAATATACCATAGTGTGTACAAATATATATATATATACATAATATACATATAAATATAAATATATATATTGTATGACATGTTGGGGTGTCCAAACATGGGGACGCGTGCACAATTGCAATGTTTAATCGGGAAAAGATGATAAAGCATCAAGATTGGGGAGACCCTGTTTTCAGACAAACTCATATCACGGCATTGTTTTGGTCCAATCTTGGTAAGCACAAGGCACCATCCTCGTGTTTTTTGGATTTCGATGTTTTTCAGCTGTCTCTGTCCATCGCAGCCGTGAGGAAACTCGGTGAATGCTGCCTCCAAGAACTTGGGTGGAGCGGTTGGCGTCACTTTGGAATCCCTCACAAAGTTGGCGCACACAAGATGCTTGCCAGCGAAGCAGGTGCCCCCTGATTGTATTCTGTTGGCTTGTTGTGCGATCAACTGGTGCAATTTATAAGGATGCGAAAGGTGTAAAACAATGTAAAACAGTGTAACTAAAGGAGGATGCAAAAGAATAAACAACCTTAGAAAGAAACAGCTTCTTCCTCGCATTGTTCCCACCTTAACTGTTCATACGATAATCCTTTCCGACTTTCCTGTTTCAAATTCAAAGTTTCTCGCGTTCAGGCGGCCGGCACCAAGCGAAAGTCTTCCAGCCTTTTTCTCAGCAGCCATTACGCGGTGTATATACATATATATATATCCCATAGGATCCATGGTGCTGGTATATATGCTAACATTGGGGGTATATTGATGGGATCCATGTTACCATATATAGCAGCACCATGGATCCTATGGGTATATGTATACATAATATATATATATATATATATTATATATATTATATATACACACAATACACATCTATATACACTGCAATAACATTGAAAGTTCAATCTCTAAGGAGTCGAAAGCGCGCTGGAGGTTTTGACCTTGCATTTGGATCAGGCAAGGCATAGCAACCGGCATGGGGACGTAACACATACTCGTAGATGTGGAAAGCCACCATGTTCAATAGGAACACGGTCTACAATTGGATTTTCCACATCTATAGCGGGTCAAATGTTTTCAACCCAGATCATCTTCAGTATGGCGTAGTTTGCTCGTGAATCCCTATGAAACCCCCATGAAATCCCCATGAAATCCCCTATGTTTCATGTGTATGCTGCAGCGCGTTTGATCCTGAGGCCAACCAGGGCTTTATTAGCAATCTCGTCTCTGACCTGGATGCCTGTGCTGGGCTCAGTGGATTTGGGGGATTTTAGGGCTCCCGGGCCCAGGGATTATTCAATCTGTTTATTCAATCTCGATACCCAGGGTATCACACAAATCTCAGTCTAAGTGGTCTATATGAATATATATATATATTAATGACGATATATTTATATATGTGTGTGCAAACCCTTCTTACACAGGGCGTGGTATGAATTTGATTGAATATGCAGGGGGCTCTGGGTCCTACTTCCAAGCCAGAGCCAACGAAGACCTTGGAAGTAGGACGTGAAAACGTACCTGCAAGTTAGGTGTACCTGGGCACGAGTGTGCAGCTGGTAGCCTCTACAAATCTGTCGATGAAGCTGTTGTTTCTTCATACCATTGCGGACCTCACCCACGTGGATTTAACTTCGAACCTCACCAGTTTGGATTTAACCTCAGAACTCGCATTCAGACCAGTGTGTATGTTTGTGTTTAATACTGTTCACTGTATCTAGCTATCTATCTAGCTATCTATCTAGCTATCTATCTATCTATCTGTCCGTTTGTCTGTCTGTCTGTCTGTTTGTCTGTATGCCTGTATGTCTGTATGTCTATCTGTCTATGTCTGTCTATGTGTCTATCTGTCTATCTGTCTATCTACCTATCTGTCTATCTATCTGTCTATCTGTCTATCTATCTACCTATCTATCTATCTATCTCTCTCTCTCTCTATCTCTGTCTATCTGTCTGTGTGTCTATCTATCTATCTATCTATCTATCTATCTATCTATCTATCTCTCTCTCTCTATCTTTCTCTCTGTTTTTTCAATATATATCTACATATCTAAATATCTACATACCTGCACATCTACATATCTACACATCTACATGCACATATATGCAATAGTTTTTTCCACAACCCACATGTTCCGTGATTGCGGGTCCATCCACGTCAAGATTGCGGCTTTGAGATGACAATGACCGAGGCCAGTCTGCAAAAGACTTCGATCATAAGTTGATGGCCAGCTTAGTGCAGGCTGTCGCGGAACGTTTATTTTCTTTAATGTGTTTGTTTGGAAAGGCTGGCGTACTGAGAAGCTGTGTTTGTTGGATTTTTTTCTACATGCTTGGGGATGAAAACAACTCTTCACATTTTGATTGGTGAATAGCCTTGTCGGCTCAAATAAAATTGAAATACACTCAAGAGGAAGAAACTCATCACCTATGATGTGGACCGGTTGCAATCGGGTAGTTTGTAGTATTGTTGATTGGCAGAGGATTTGCAATCGGGTCAGCATACTCCAAGCATTTGCACAGAGAAGTTCCTTGTTTTGTGATGGAAGAGTCCTACTTGCTGAGCATGCTGAGCATGGCAAGGGCCACCTTTCTGGATTTCGTATTTCAGAGGTGTCAGGGCTGGCGCACACGACGCTGGATTCCAACCGTATGAACACTCCACGAGCACCATGCTGTGGAGGACCATGGTTTCATCAATCTATGGCAACCTTAAATAGTCTTGTGGGTCAGGCGGGATGTGGTGAGGTACCAGATGGCTACTACTTTTGGAACACGGGGAATCCAGCCATTCATCTACTGGCCTTTGTAGTCCAAATCTTTTCTCGCAAGCTGATGATTCCGAAGAACGCGTCCCGGATACTTTTATCCACGGCAACTCAGAGTGACACTCAGAATTTCAGTATCTTTTTGATTCTTTGTTGCAGCCTTGAAGAATTCCCGCAGTAATCCCCTTCCCACTAATATTAGATACCTCCTACTACTAAGCCCTGGTTTAGTGGGATGCGTTTCATTTCGGGGTGCCATTTGATAATATTTCAATTTATTTCATATGAATATTACGACATTTTCGGTGATTCAGCTGAGTTCCACCAGGTGATCTACAATGGAGGCGTTGTGGCCAAGTGGTGCCCTGTGGCTCTGCATTTGGCCAAGCTTTTACAGGCTGAGATCCTGTTGCTCTCAGCCCTGCCAGTCATCTCAGACGACACGCCTCCCCACATTTTGCAGCGCCTTTTGACGGAGTCAAGGCAGATCGAGGCGCAGCTGGTTGGCCGATTGAGAAGAGCCATAAACAATAACTTAGTAACTATTAGAAACTTGTCGGTATAAGATGATACCACTAGTACCGCACAAGGCGGTGGCGGAAGTTTCAAAAATAGGAAACCTCTGGGAGAGATTGGTTGCTGTGAATCAGGGATGGCAGAGCGAATCCGATGATGGACCGAAAGGTGCTTGAGGTCTCCTCTCTTTCTCTCTCTTTCTCTGACTATCTACCCACGTACCAACCTATCTATCGATCTATCTATCTAATCTAATCTAATCTAATCTAATCTAATCTAATCTAATCTAATCTAATCTAATCTAATCTAATCTATCTCTCTCTCTCTCTTTCATCTGTCTATCTGTCTAGCTGTCTACCTGTCTACCCATCCATCTATCTATCTATCTGCCTATCTGTCAACCTGTCTATCTGTGGTTCAGTGTCATTCAGTGTAATGTAGTGTAATGTAGTGTAGTGTAGTGGAGTGTGGTGGAATGTAGTGTAGCGTAGTGTAGTGTAGCGTAGTGTAGTGTAGTGTAGTGTAATTTAGTGTAGCGGAGTGTAGTGGAGTGTAGTTGTGCATTCGTAGTTGTATTTGTGGTGTAGTGGAGTGTAGCGTAGTGTAATGTAGTGAAGTGTAGTGGAAGGTAGTATAGTGTAGTGTAATGTAGTGTAGTGGAGTGTAGTGAAGTGTAATGTAGTGTAGTGTAATGTAATTTAGTGTAGTGGAGTGTATTGTAGTGGAGTGTAGTTGTGTAGTTGTAGTTGTAGTGTAGTGGAGTGTAGTGTAATGTAGTGAAGTGTAGCGGAAGGTAGTGTAGTGTTGTGTAATGTAGTGTAGCGTAGTGCAGTGCAGTGTAGTGGAGTGTAGTGTAATGTAGTGTAGTGAAGCGAAGCGACATCTGCACTTCCACAAGTGGTTCGAAACCCTTGTGTTTTTAACATGCTGACTTCGAAATGTGCTTCGCGCCACAACGGCGTGCACTTTTTCGACATCGCAACTTCCAAAAGTGGTCCGAGCATGGTGTGCTTTGTACATTTTGATTTCGAAATGTGCTTCGCGCCACAACGGCGTGCACTTTTTGGACATCGCAACTTCCAAAAGTGGTCCGACGCTGAGGTGTTTTGCACATTTTAACTTCGAAATGTGCTTCGCGCCAAGACGGCGTGCAATTTTTCATCTCTCATCTGGCCAGCTGGCTCCGCACCCGCCGCTTTAGCGAGCTGACTTTTCGACCCTCCGGAGCCAAACCATTGGAAAAACACAGTGTTTCGCGACTTTCCTACCTTTTCGCGCATCTGCATCTTCTTTCTTCTGACTCTTTCTCTTCTCTGATCTTCTCTCTTCTAATCTTTCTCTTCTCTCTGCCTCTGCCCTGCTCTGCTTTTCATCTGTCCATATTGTCGGAAGTTTGACTTCTAAACTTCCTTCGATAAGTATCTAAATATTTAAATAGATTAATAAATGAATAAAAAAATAGATAAAATGAATAAATAAAAAACACACACATATATATATATAATTATATATATGTGTGTATCTTATATTTTTTATATTATACATGATATATTATATATGTATATAAATGTATTTGCACGTGTGTGTGTGTGTGCGCTCCTGTGTACTGTATATGAATATTTATCTTGCATTTGTTTCATGTACATGACATTTTTCTTGTTTTCTTCATTTGCAAATTCTTGAGTTATTAAGGCAGGGTTCTCAAAATTTGCAGCATTACGATCCTGGTTTTTGTGTGGTGCGCGACTGAGTGGACAGAAATTAACCAGCCTCCGGGCCAGTTTCCTACCTCAGACCCCTGACAATGACCGCTTTAATCTCTTCACTTTCACCTCTTCATGACTCGTGGGGTTGTCCAGTGTATGGAGTATGCCTTGAGGTAAGTATGCCCCGAATCCTTTTGTTAGATCGAATATATCAAACAAAATATCAATGACTATCAATCAAGGAAAGTCATGTAGAAATCTAGAATGATCAGACCATTTTCTCGGCCCCTCATGGTATGTCTAGTTTTAGGCGGACGGGCAACGCAACGCATGGTTGGAGCAGCATCGCTGGACCTACGGTGTCCTTGGGGAGGAGCTGGTGGCCGAGGGGCGCAACCGCTTACATCGCTTCCGGGGCTATGTTCGAAGACCGGGAACTTGGGAAAACCCAACTTGGAAGCAGGACTGCAACCGGGAATTTGGCCATGTTAAATATGGCGGGTCTCACATGATTTATCTTTATGAAAATTTTACCAGCAAACTCTGAGGGTTGTTGGTTATTTATTTTTGTCATTGTTTTGTCATTTTTTGTCATTTGGTTCTTGCATTTTTTTGTCATTCCTGTTTTGTGGTGTCATTTTTTTGTCATTTTCTTGTCATCCCCTGTCGTTTCTTGTCGTTTTCTACTTTCTAGCATTGTTCATTTTCTTGCCGTTTTCTCATCCGGATCAGGCAAGCAGTGAAGGTGGCAAACCCGGTCTAGGAAATGCCAAAAAAAATGCAAAAAATGACTCCCGGTTTGGGAAATGCAAAAAAAATGCCAAAAAAAATGACTCCCAGTCTGGGAAATGCAAAAAAAATGCCAAAAAAATGACTCCTAGTCTGGGAAATGCAAAAAAAATGCAAAAAAAAAGGCAAAGAAAATGAAAAAAAATGCAAAAAAATGCAAAAGACATGACTCGCGTGCTGGTAAAGTTGCGTTTTTGGAGTTTCCAGGTCGGCCCCGCTTCTCGGGCCTGAGCCGCGCCCTCCCGGCCATTTCACCCCGGCCCCGGCCCCCCCACCCGGTTTTTGAGCCGGCCCTGCACCCCGGGCCGGGAGAGACAACTCCTCGTCCAGGCAGGCCCAAAAACGAATTTCCCAGGGCAAGCTCCCCTGCCCTATCCTTCTTCACCGCCGGCTGGCTTTCCAAGAGTTTCTGCACTGTTCCTTGTATTTGGTGCTGCCACGAGGTAAAAGGTCTGTCATGATAGTCATGTTTTAAGGATTTGTTTTTTCCATTTTCCCTTTCCCAAAATGACAAACAATGACAAACAAATGACAAAGAAATGACAAAACAAATGACAAAACAAATGACCCAAAAACATGACAAAAAATGACACAAAATGACAAAAGAAACGACAACGTAAATCCAAAATGACAAACCCAAATGCAAAAAAAATGCAAAACACATGCAAAAAAATGCAAAATATTTATTCTGGAAATTCCAATGTTTGCAGGCCCAAGATTTTCCTAAATTTATCTCATGAACAAGTGGGGATTTCTCGAAAGATGCATGGATTCTAAGCATTGAGGCGCCCCACACCATCAAAATCAGCATTGTTTCGAGCTTTTGGCAAGGATCTGGATGTGCAACTCGCCCATTCTTTTCACGTTAGCCTCAAAGAGTGTCCCATATCGGGCAACTTCTCGATTGGAGACATCATGGCTGGTGAGCGTCAAGAGTTGATGGCTGCAAGCCCTTCGTTGTGGGAGCAGGCCATGTTGTTGCCTCGATTCGCTGAGTAATTTTTTTTTCACTCCCCGTTCGTTATTATCCACCCAAAATGCGAAATCAGCTGGGAATGTACATCTTTTATGGCCGGTATAGATTGAGAAGCCTTGGCAGAAAAAACATCGGTTGATAAATGGGGGTTATCACGGATTATCCTTCATAAATCTTCAGTCCCAGTTTAGAATGAGAAGCCCCTAAAGGGGGGTTCGCCATGAGCAGAGCGAGAAGTTTAGAGATGGACGTAGAGGCAGAAGCAAAGAAGAGACAGAAGGAAGATAAGACTCCATCGTCGATGGAAAGGCAAACCAATACCAAGAAAAGTGCAGAAGAGAAAGATGAACAAGAGGCAAGCGAGGATATTCAAAACACCACGCGGGAGTTGTTCCCTGAAACACCTGCTTCATACAAGACCTTCTACGCAAAAGAAAACCACAAAGGCAAAGAACCGCGTTGGAACCCGCAGCATGCAAACATGGAAGAGAGAACAATGCAAGCAAAAGCCCCACAGACCGCAAAGAAGGAGACAGCTGCTCCCAATGAAGCAGCAGACCTGAGCAAACAGCTGCAGCAGCAAATCTGAGAAACACAAGAAACTATGGCCAAGGTGCAAGCAGCTATGGAGAGCACTCCTCAGCCACCATATGTTCACGAGATGCAGGTACAAACACTCAACCTCCAGGAAGGAAGCACAGAAATACACAGAAGAATTGAACAATGACATCAGATATGTGGACATCCTAACTCAGCATGTCCATGACAATTTCTACAGCCAGCAGCAAAGAGAAGCAGCCAAGCAAACAGTCGCGAAAGGATGGCCGCAAGAGCTCACAGAAGCGGAGCGTGACAATGTCATCAACTGGTACGTGCAAAAAGCTGGAGTCGAAGGGCATTGCACCACAACTCACGGCAAATACATGAATGGCCGATAATGGCCGATACCGCAGATCTCCGGTGACCATCGCTACAACAAGCAATACGCAGTGACCATCTGGGACGCAAACAATAAGATAGTATACTTCGGCAATCAGCCACACAGAATAGCAATTTTACCGCAGTTTTTGACGATTGAACCTCATTTCGCGCGAAAGGGTTGCGCGGGACAAGTTGAAAGCAATTTTACCGCAGTTTTTGGCGATCGAACCTCATTTCGTGCGAAAGGGTTGCGCCGGACAAGTTGAAATAGCAATTTTACCGCAGTTTTTGGCGACCGAACCTCATTTCGTGCGAAAGGGTTGCGTTTCGTGCCGTCTCGTTGGCACTGCCCCGCGCCTTCAAGAGAGAAATAGAAAAGAAGGAGAGGGCAAGAGGAGAAGATGTGAAGATGTGAGGGCAAGAGGGCAAGAGGAGAAGATGTGAAGATGTGAGGATGTGAAGATGTGAGATGTGAGAATGAGAAGATGTGAGGATGAGCAGATGTGAAAATGTGAAGATGTGAAGATGAGCACATGTGAAGATGAGAAGATGTGAAGATGAGAAGATGTGAGGATGAGCAGATATGAAGATGAGAAGATGTGAAGATGTGAGGATGTGAAGATGTGAAGATGAGCAGATGAGAATATGAGAAGATGTGAAGATGAGAAGATGAGAAGATCTGAGGATGAGAAGGTGTGAAGATGAGAAGATGTGAAGAGGAGAAGATGTGAGGATGAGAAGATGTGAAGATGAGAAGATGTGAAGATGAGAAGATGTGAAGATCAGAAGAGGTGAAGAGGAGAAGATGTGAGGATGAGAAGATGTGAAGATTAGAAGATGTTTTACAGACCCCCACTATTGGAAGAACCCTGCGCTCAGACGCTCTCGGGAAAAAGAAAAATCCTTCATAAATGGGAGATATCAATATGATTCTATGATTCTTTTTCTTTACGTTGCATAAATCAAGCAAATCCCAGGTTGGTGCACGTGATCTTCGAACAGTTGCAACAGCAGCTGGGGCAACCGCCACGCTACGTCCTGACGGGCGGAACCTTATTGGCCCTGCTTCGTCACGGGACCGGAGCACGAGAGATCGATGGGGTCCTGGACTTTGTGGCTCGTCGTGAGTCAGGAAAAGATAGGAAAAGCTATAGATGCAGATGAAAATAGTAACATTAATAAGGTTAATAAGTATCAGGCACTTGTAAGACCGGAGGCTCATCTGTAATCAATAACTACAAATTAATGAACAATTAAGAATCAATAATTAATAGTTTTTTGATGATACAGAATGTTGCAGAATCATACCAGTTTGGAGGATGTGGCATGAGAGCCTTGGAAATCATGAACCCAGCAACAAAACCTTTAACAAACAAACGTCCGTCCCCATTCTTCCAAGAGGTGGACAAAGACATTGACATTTTGTTGGTCGCCAATACTGCTGCAGACTGGTGGGCTACAATCGTGGCGCTTGAGCAGCTTTTGGTGTCCAATGGCTGGCAGGGCTGTGCACTTTCAGCGCGGGATTCGGGAGACATGGCAACTGAATTTGCAGCTAGACCAAGCGCGGAGAATTTTTTGTTTGTGCCAAAAGAGGGAGCCCCTGTTGAACAAACAATGTATTTAAATCCATGTCGCACGCACGCACATAACTACATGCATAATGTTGGCTGCCTAATAGTAATTACCACCCCTATTTTTTTTTTAGGGGGGTCAACCTTCCTATAATAATTTTTGGGAATCTATAGCTAGGATCATGATATGTATCTGATAGATTCTCCATGGTTTTGTTGGGTTTCTGATAGATTCTGAATGGATTTGGTTGGGTTTCTGAGAGATTGGCGAAGAGTTGGCAAGGCGGAAGTGGACATGGAAGTGGGGGCAGAGGTGGTGGAGGCGAAGGAGGAGGACGAGGAGGAGGAGAAGAAGGAGAAGAAGGAGAAGGAGAAGGAGGACAACAAAATTGGAATTGCGGAAAAAAGTTTCCACTATTGCCATGCCTGGTGCAGGTTTGTTATTGCTATTCTGGGGCTTACAAAGGGGGTACCCTTTGTGGACCTGTTTTCTTGCTTTTTTAATAAGGGTTTTATAAGGAAATCAGCTGTTTGGTAATTTGATCAGATTTCTGGAATCTAAGCTTTTGCTAATCAAAAGTGAAGGCTGCTTTGAAAAGGACTTGCTTTACTTGACTCTTTTGGCAATACTAAAAGTAAATGGAGCTAATTGACTTTTAGTATTGGAGAAAAAATTGGAGTTGGGAAAAAAAATCCACTATTGCCATGTTGGGTCCACTATTGGCCATGCCCTCTGGACAAGGTCTGAACATGATTCTTTTGGCAATACTAAAAGTAAATAGAGCTAATTGACTTTTAGTATTGGAGAAAAATTGGAGTTGCGGAAAAATGTTTCTACTATTGACAAGGTATCACTATTGGTCAGATTTCATTACATACATGCAAGAGAGAATGAACAAAGATCCCGTTGAAAGTATCGAATCCTTCAAGAAGTTCTTCACCAACACAAAGTCAGTACACCTAACACATTTTAGCATATTTTAGCCAGGAATTGGAGATGCTTCAGATGCAAACCGGGGTTCCAGTCTCCAGTCGGGGTGTCATGGAGTTGGTTTGCGCTCTATTCGGCAGCGATTCGGTGAACCATACTCAACGTGCCATCGTCCCCTTGAACGTGGTGTGGGTACAACCCTTTCGATTCCGACAGCTGGTGGCTGGCCGGCGCATGTACCAAGTTTCCAAAGTGCCAGGACCAGGTGATGTGCTCATTGCAAGCAGCGCCTGCTCTATTCTGCCGAAACATCGGGACCGTGGTCATTGTTTTGCACTGCCACACTTCCCACTGCAATCTTGGCGTGGTGTGTTGCCCTTCCAGTCTTTGGTGCCATCCAAATCATGTGTTTATCTTCCTGTCACCAGATTGATGCAGCACATCGTGACAGAAAATCCGGACGAAAACAGGTATGGCCCGTCTGTCAGCGTACCATGTCCGCCTCAACCTGTACGGCTGCTACGTTGGTATGACCGTGGCGAACTCTGGGGTCGTTTGACAGAAAGACCATGCTTAGCCATGCCACTGGTACTGGATCATGATCGGGTCAACAACACCCAAACTCGCACACTGAAAGAACAGGGTCTCTCACATGTGGGGATCAAAACCATCGTTGAACGAATGCTGCTCTTAGAGATGTTAGGAGGGGAAAATTTGCTTGAAGAGGCTGGAAATTGCAGCTGGTCCTTAGATGGTGGATACCGTATATCAGTGTCGAAATTCAAGGGTTCCTCTACGGCGGAGGCGGATTGCGGACCCTTGCTGGATCCAACTGGGGCGTATCCGGTTTGGAACAGCCCGAGAAAGTGCCCACATCGCATCAATGAGTACAATAGCTTGCTTCCCCACCTTAACACGAGGTGGCATAGTAGCGGCTATCTTGTGAAGAGGCCAATGTCTACACGCTCTGGAGCAAATGCTGCCCGACATCGGAATGGTTGGTCAATAGAGTGCACTTGCCCATTAAATAAGCAGTTGGCACATTCATCTAAAATCACCAGATCAGGTGTTCTGACATTGCCAATTTGGCTGTCGTTTTGCTACAAATTACAAATTTAGGGACCTGAACCTTAGCATTTAGATGAAAAATAATGAAATTAGAACACATGAGTCACATGAGGGTTTCTTGAAATAGGGGTACCCCTAAATCATTCAGTTTATTTTCGGATTTTCCGTTATAAACCATCCATTTTGGGGTATCCCCATGACTATGGAAACCCATAGGTTTCGCCGACTCTGCACCCTCTTGCAGCAGGGCTTTCATCCAGAGATTCTGGACAGAGCACTGCAACAGAAGATATAGAAGCGACCTTTTGCAATGCTGAGTGAGTAGTGATAATGATACTATCAATAATAATCAACTGATGACTGTGATACTATCAATAATAATCAACTGATGAAGGCTGCTTTTCTCTGAAGTTTGGCCCTGTCAGAGGGCTATGTGTGACATGCAGGAATTGGCTGAACAAGTGGCGCAAGTGCAGAAGACTCTTGGCCAACTGGTAGGCCTTGCATATTGTGATGCCATCGGCTGCCATTGCAATCCATCATGCCATTCTTCACTGGTTGCTTCGCTACGTTGGGACTGGGGATAGTTGTTGATGTTGTTGAGGGAAGGGACTGCTGAGGCACTTGAGGTTGCATCCAGAGTCTAATGCACCATGCATTCAGGCACAAAGGCCCAGCACTCAGACATGCTTACTGGTTGGTGGTTTCACTTTCTGTCAATTCAATCAGTAATGCATACTAATCTACGTATATTATTATCTATATATTGTATAGATAGATAAATAGATACATAAGTATATATTAATATGTTAATGCCATATTATTTGGGATGATGATTCCAAAGTCCAACTGGATTTTTTTCCCGGGACGTGTTGAAACCACCAACTTGAGTGGCGGTCATCAGCTTGTCTCCTGCAACGCTGTGCTAGCAAAACGCTGGTGTTGAGCCTGCCTGCTGCCACGCTGCTCAGGTTGCAAAGCTTTCTAGCTAAAGCCAATGGGGCGAATTCAGCATCTGCAGAGTCCCGACAGCATCAAGAGCTGATTGAATGGGAAGGAAAGGCCATTGCCACAGAAAATTCAAATCCATTCAAGATCGCACTTGAATGTAGACATGCAAATGGTAAACATGTGATGAAAACATGGTTGCCATGTTTGCAGCGTAACTTTGGCTGGTGCTCCAATTTGTGGTCTGCAAGGTTTCACAGCTTGGCTGTCGAATATTGAAACGTTCTTGATGTGAGAGATCGATTTTGGAGCTTGGAGGCTCATGTCCATGAATTGGACTGCTTGTTCAGCCTCCCCTGTACAACAAATTTGATAATGAGCAAGTCAATGGGCCTTGTAGACTACCACCTCGGGTAATTAATAGGATTAACAGGGGGCCAAAGAAGGGTGAACTCAGTGAACTCATGAAAACACTATGAGTTGCTAGCTTCAGCAATGCAAGCGCTCTTGGTTGAGGCATGTTCAAATTGCAAGGAGTCATGAGGGTTGAACGGTGAGAAGCGGCAAGCAATAGTACATGAAGCCTTAACATGATTATTTAAAGTTCATCTTTCAGTTTTTGATCAACTTCCCACCCAATATTTCTTGGCATCAGTCCAGGCCTTAAAGCTTGGCATGACATTGATACACAGACCATTACAGACCTGTTTCATCAAACAGCATTCTTCAGCCTTGGCGCCATGGGCCATGGATATCCATGCCATGGCAGAAGCCCCAGCAACGACATGTTTGCTGTTGGTTTGTGGCTTACCCGGCTCTGGCAAGAGCTCTTTCTGCCAATTGGTGACTGGCGAAGGCTCCCAAGGCACCCAAGGTACCCAAGGCACCAGCTGGATCCATTTCTGTTATGATGACGTTGAACGAGCCTTGCGCGCGGATCGGAGTAGCTTCGACCCAGAGGCCTGGCAAGAAGCCCGGGCAAAGATCAGGGCTGACGTTGGTTCCTTGCTGGACGACAACGAGTCGGAGAGCAATCGAGTGATCGTGCTGGATGACAACATGTATTACCGCAGCATGAGATGCCTGACAGAAGTTGGCAAGTTGGCAAGTAACTAAGTGATACTAAGTGCAGCTCAATTTTCAATATTGACAAATCTGACAATATAGTGTTGACACATATATATATAACGAAATATGATATTGTATCATACAGTATTGTCTTGGCTTGTGTGCCTTTGCTTGCATTTCATTTCTTTGCTGTGAGTTTGTCCTGTTAGTTCATGACAAACCAATCTTTTGTGTCAGCACTGGGTCGGTGCTGTTGCCGAGAGGAAAGCAGTGGTACCACCTATGCCGCGATAGACGATGTGCCTACCACCAAATCTTCTTGCAGGCAGTCTTTGCCCATTTTGCCATGAAATTGATTCACTTGCTTGGCAACTGTTTGCTGTGGTAGACTGAATTTAGCTAATGTTCTGAACAGTCTACTTTATGGATAGAGAATACGGTCCACGATTGTACTTACAGCTGTCGGGCAATTGAAAGAACCAGCAACCTCAACTCAAACAAGAGCCAACCTATCAAACCATGGTTTTCCGAGCAGCTCCTTACCAGGACGAAGGATTTCAGGATATTTCAGGTGTCAGGTGTCAGGCCGCTCCAGCTTTGGAGGCACCAACTGCCGTTTGCTTGGAGCGGAATCGACATCGTGAAGCAGCAGATCGAGTGCCGGACTTTTCCATTGAACACATGGCAGAGGTCTTCGAGTGGCCACCTTGTGGTGGCAACACCTGGGAGGCACAGGACGGCCCTTTGTTTCCTCAAAAAGGATTTCTGGAAGTCGGTACCGTACCCACCTAGAAATTGGGTTGTAGATGTCAGGTTTTGTACCTTTTCTATCCTTTTCTATGCTCCAAGATGTCTCATGTCTCATGTCTCATGTCAGCCAAACGCAGCTCCGCAGGAGGGCATCAGCCTCATCATCGATGCAGAGACACCAACCTTGGAGCAGGTGCAAAAAGTCATCCTCGCCCAATCCAAAGTCAACTTTTGGAGACCAGTACCGAAGGACACCAGTTGCTGTTGCATGTTGTTCCTAACAAGTTGCCAGCAAAGGAATTAAATAGTAGCTTTGCGTTGTGATTTGGCTATACATTAGATGTTCTGGGTTGTGGAGTTCACGGATGCTGAACCGGTTCGGAAACTCTTAAATTTGACACAATGGTGTCAATGGTGTCCAATGTGAACCATCCGGAGGTTGCTCTGTGCGGGGCATAGGCGAACTAGCTGAAAGACGCTTTCAGTATCTTTCAGTGAGGCCTTGCAGTGACCAAAGAGACATAAGCCATCCTAGGTCCCTAGGTGGCCATGAAAATTGAAACGGACCATGCAGGAGAGTGTTGCTGTGGAAGACGTTCAGAGCGATGGTCACAACTGTGACGTGGCTCTGCGTAAGATCGTGACACGAGCGCTGGCTGGCGTTCCCAAAGAGTCTTTCCTGAAAAGCTTGTCCAATCTGATCCAGAGCGTGGGTGTGTGTGTGTGTGTGAGTCTGACTGCTTAGGTTCTCCTCTTATTGTGTAATCTGAAGCAACTCCCAGAGAGGGCGATGGATAGAGTTGAGGATGTTGAGGATTTTCGGTTTTGGTCTGAGAAACTCTCAGGAATTGGGCCCATTGAAGTCCACCTTGGCCAAGCAATGGGGAGCTCGCAAAGCTGAGTATACCAAGCGAGTGGCAAAGAATACAGGTGCATTGCCGCATTGGCGTCACCATTTCGTAAACATGCTTTTGACTCTTGACTCTACCGTGATTGGTGGAGCTTGTGAGGGATCTGTTTCTTCATGGTTTTTCATGAGGATCCCTAGACCTGAAGATGTGTAAAGTGTAACCAAGCGTAACCAAGTGTAACCAAGTGTAATCATGTACATTCACCCGCATGGTCGAAGTGACATCATCTGCCACAGGTGGAACTCCAGCAAGTGATTTGATTCAGGAAGCGGAAATGTCATTCCTCCAGTCCTGCGTGGCAGATATGCAGCAAGCTCTTCGCGAATCTGCCGCTGGCCCTGCGGCTGGCTATGGGAGAGAAGCCTCCCAGACCAATGCATCGGAGAGCAAAAAGAAGCGATTGCACAGTGCCTGCCACTGTTGACACATTCGGGTTTTGCATTGCCCCCTACAAAAATAACAATTGGATAGAGAAGAAGCTCTTGAAACTTGCAAAAGCTTCCAAACACTTGCAGACCTTTGCTGTGCTGGACATGCTTTGATATATGATCCATGTCCGTGCGATTGTGCTTTGCGTTCACAGCAGCGCAATCGAGGACATGCCTTGAAGAGATAGATGAGGCCAGGCCATTGATTCTCTGCAATTCTCAACTCATCCAGCCATATGTAGGGCGCAGCAAACCATCCCGAAATCCACCAGAAATACTGTAGATATCTGTAGATGGTAAATGAATGTAAATAAATGATACTATGTAAATGGAAACAACCGTTCCCAATTCCCCAATTGGTTATTATATTATATTATTAATATTATAATTCATTGAGGTTGCAAAACCAGCGATATTTGAAATTCAAAAAAGCAGCCACTTGCAGCCACTTACAGCCACTCGAGTGGCCGCAAGTGGCCGCAAGTGGCCGCTAGGGCAAGTGGCCGCAAGTGGCCGCAAGTGGCCGCTAGGGCAAGTGGCCGGAAGTGGCCGCGAGTGGCCGCAACTAACCGCAAGTGGCCGCAAGTGGCCGCTCCAAGCGAGTGGCCGCAAGTGGCCGCACGTGGCCGCATGTGGCCGGTTGTTCTACTGGTAGGATTTGAAATTTCCAGAGCAGCGTCACTTGCAGCCATTTGCATTATTTGCAGCCACTTGCAGCCACTTGCAGACACTTGCAGCCACTTGCAGCCACTCGAGTGGCCGCAAGTGGCCGCAAGTGGCCGCAAGTGGCCGCTCCAAGCGAGTGGCCGCAAGTGGCCGCTCCAAGCGAGTGGCCGCAAGTGGCCGCACGTGGCCGCATGTGGCCGCTAGGGCAAGTGGCCGCAAGTGGCCGCAAGTGGCTGCATGGACGGCAAATACCAGCCCGAATGGCCCCAGCCTTGAAAACTTGAAAAAAAAAATGCTTTTCTCGCGAACTGCATTTTTTCAAGTTTTCTGTGAAACGTGAGGTGAGAGTTGAAACGAAAGGAAAGAAATAACAAATAGGAGGGAAGAGTTGAAACGAAAGGATGGACGCAACGAAATGGACAAGGTGAAAGGAAAGGAAGGGCCAAACGAGCAAGACAGAAGAGTTGATACGAAGGCACAGACGCAACGAATAGAAAGGAAGAGTTGAAACGGAAGGAAAAACTGAACGATCAGGACATAAGAGTTTATGCGAAAGAAAGGAAACGAACAGGACATAAGAGTTAATACGAAAGAAAGGAAGTAACAAATGGAAGAGGAGACTTGAAATGAAAGAAAGGACGCAGCGAACGGAAAGGACAAGTTGAAACGACACAGGAAGAATTAAATCAGAAGGAAGGACGGAGCAAACGGCAGGGAAGAGTTGAAACGAAAGGGAAGAAGAAACGAACGGGATATAAAACTTGAAACGAGCGGACGGAAGTAACGCATAGTAGGGAAAAGGTGAAACGGAAGGAAAGACGCAATGAACGGAAACGAAGAGTTGAAACCACACGAAGAGTTGAAACGAATGGGAAGAAGTAACGAACGGAATATAAGACATGGAACGAAAGGACAGAAGTAACGCATGGAAAGGAAGAGGCGAAACGAAAGGAAGGAGGCAATGAACGGAAAGGAAACGTTGAGTTGAAAAGAAAGGAAGGACACAATGAACGGAAAGAACAGATTTAAAGGGGCTGTTGTTTGTCCACCGGGTATACGCTTGTGCCCCCTACAGGGAACAAAGGAAAGAAATATTTTTCGAATTTTATCGCTTTTACCGTGGGTGTTGGTAAATTTTTGATTCGTACCATTTTTTTCGTGGATGCTGGTTAGTTTCTCGGTGTTTACCACTGTTTACCGCCTGTGTATAGCAAACCCTTGGCACTGCTTCACCAGATTTCCAGCACTTTTGGTTCGATCCGTATCATGTTTTTCAGCCGAAGGGGAGAGATGAATTTTTATCATAGTTAGGTTGAATGCTTTTGTTATAATCACCCAAGTAGGAAATCTCTTGGACCACGGCCAGCAATGAACGACTTGAAACGAAGGGAAGCAGTAAGGAACGGGATGTCAGAGTTGAAACGAAAGGAATGAAGTAACGAATGAAAGGAGAGAGTTGAAACGAAAGGAAGACAGTAACGAATGAAAGGAAAGAGTTGAAACTAAAGGAACGGCCGAACGGAACGACGAAAGAATCAACGTAACGAACAGGTTGTAGGAGGCGTAAGAGGTGAAACGAAGGGGGTTTATAAACGAGGTGAAACGTAAGGACGGACATAGCGAAATGAACGACTTGACAGCAAACGGAAGGAAGGAAGTAACTAACGTGGGGGAGTGTTGAAACTTAAAGAAGGAAGTAACAAACGAAATAGGCTAGTTGCAATAAAACATGTAACCAAAAGGATTGTATTGGAATTGAGACGAGTGGAAGGACGTAACCACATGAACGGCTTGAAACGAAAGGAAGAAGTACATGAACGGGATGGGAGTGTTGAAACGAAAGAAAGGAAGTATCAAATGGACGGGAAGAGTTGAAACGAAAGGAACGCTGTAGCAAATGGAAGGGAAGCGTTAAACGAAAGTCAAGAAGTAACGCACCGGGGATCAGAGTTTCTAACATTATTTGATGCTCCGCTCTGATACGCTCTGAGACCTTCTGCATGTTTTACATAGACTGCATTGCTGCTACTACCCAACAGCTTCTCCTTAGGCTTCTAACTGGTTGCTGCTACGCTCTAAGATCTACCCAACTTGCAAATACTCTACCATCATTGATGCTACGCTCCAAGATTTGCGCATCATTCTTCCAAGCTTCTACCTTCATTGATGCTACGCCCTAAGATCTTCTCTTCAATCTCCAAACTGCAACAGATCTTCAGTTTTTCTACTATCATTGATGCTACGCTCAAAGATCTTCTCTTCAAGTTTCCAACATCAGCCATTCTACGCTCAAAGATCTTCTCAACTGTCCAACATTGTTGATGCTACGCTTTCAGATACTCTCTTCACTTTTCAGACATCACCGATGCTGCGCTCTAAGATTTCTTTTGTTTTTTTCTCACATTCTACCCGCATTGATGCTATGTTTTTCGGTTTTATTTCCATGTTTCTCCCATTGTACCATCAATGATGCTACGCTCTAAGAACTTCTCTTCAATTTTCAAACATGTTTGATGTTACGCTCTAAGATATTCTCTTCAATTGTCAACATACTGGAAGCGACGTTCCAAGATCTTTACTTCTAATTTGAAACATCAGTGATGCTACGCGCCAAGATCTTCTCTTCAAATTTTCCAACACCATTGACGCGACTCTCTAAGATCTTCTTTTCCATGTTCTGACATCATCAATAATGCGCTCTAAGGTCTTCTTTTCAAATGTTGAACATCACTGACCCTTAGCTCGACGATATTCTTTTCAATTTTCTACAGTAACATCATTGATGCTACGTTCTTGGATCTTCTCTTCACCTTTCTTTTATCATTGACGCTACGTGCCAAGGTTTTCTCCTGTATTTTCTAACATGCCACGCTCTAAGATCTAATCAACTTTCAAACATTTCGTCATCATTGATGCTATACTCCAAACATTCTACCATGAGTGATTCTACGGTCTAAGATCTTCTCTTGAATTTTTCTCACATTCGACCCTGATTCATGCTAGCTGCTACCCTTCAAGTTTCTAGCAAAGTTGTTGCTGCGCTCTTAGATCTTCTCTTTGATTGTCTTACATAATACTGCGTTGATGCTGTAACATTTTTCTTTCATTTTTTTAGCATCATGGACCGTCTAAGGTGTTCTCTTCATCAACTTTCAAACATTATACCATCACTGACACTACGCTCTAAGATCTTTTCTTCAGCTTTCTAACATACTTGACGCTACGCTCTGAGATCTTGTCTTCAATTTTCTTCTATCATTGATGCTACGCTTTGGGATATCTTTTCCATTTCCAACATTCTACCGTCATTTTGCTACGCTCAAAGATCTTCCCTTCGACTTTCCAACATTGCACCATCATTGGAGCTATTCTCCAAGATCTTCTTTTTAATTTTCTCCCGTTCTACCACCGTTGATGCTACGCCCCAAGATCTTCCCCACGCTATGGAAGACATGGGTGGCATATGGTTAGCCACATGGTTTCGTGAGACACGATAAAATCCAACCTATCCAACCTCCAAACTTGAAAAAAAAAAACGCCTTTCCAGCAAAACCGATTTTTTTTAAGATGCCAACTCTGCCATGTATTTCTACCAGCACGCAGCCACTCGCAGCCACTCGAGTGGCCGCCAGTGGCTGCAAGTGGCCGCTCCAAGCGAGTGGCCGCAAGTGGCCGCAAGTGGCCTCTCCCAGCGAGTGGCCGCAAGTGGCTGCAAGTGGCCGCAAGTGGCCGCTCCCAGCGAGTGGCCGCAAGTGGCCGCAAGTGGCCTCTCCCAGCGAGTGGCCGCAAGTGGCCGCAAGCAGCCGCAAGTGGCCGCTCCCAGCGAGTGGCCGCAAGTGGCCGCAAGTGGCCGCAAGTGGCCGCTCCCAGCGAGTGGCCGCAAGTGGCCGCAAGTGGCCGCTTTCGGCGATTTCAATTTCCACACTCAAAGCAACCTCCCTGTTATAATTGATAATTGATTATTGGCTTTATCCCATTGCTGCACATGTTTCTTCAAGGGTGCAAATTGACCGTGGGGTCATTTGGGGTCCCTGGCTGAGGCAACTCTGAGCTTGCGGCAGTGGTTTGCCGAACCACCCAGCAGCTCCTTGCATGACATGCTGAGAGTTCTTGCAGCTTTAAGGCGCCATGGATCAATCTGCCATGCATTGCCATGATGTCCTTTCAAGCTAGCTTCGACATCATCGCAAGTTCAGAACTGTTTGCGGTGTTGTGCTTTGACACACACCCACACACACATATTAATATATATATATATAATTATATATAATTATATATAATTATAATAGTTATATGTATATATATAGTTATATATATATATGACTGTCTAATCCCTTCCTCCTAATACTAAACGTCCCCCTAATACTAAAAACAGGCATCCATCTCCAATTTCCGAAAATTTCAGTTTGGCCAATTTGACTTTTAATTGATCCCCTTTAAAAAACAATTCAAAAATCAACCTACCATTTGTGGGTTCTCCCCCTAATACTAAAAACTAATCCACCCCGGGGTGTTTAGCATTAGGGGGGCTAGTCCTACTCCCCAAATCCAAGCTGCCTGGCTGGTCTAGCTGCCTGCATGTTTTGCTGCAAGGAACTGTCTGGCTGCTTGAAAAGCCACCCCTCTGCCTTGCTGTCTGCAAGGTCTTGCTGAGCTGGCTGGAGTCTTGAATTTGGAAGATCCCATAAACACCTATGTTAATGGTTTCCCTTAATTTTAGGGGGTTAAAAAACAAATTCAAGACTCCAGCCAGCTCAGACAGAAAGGCAGCCAGCCAGGGATGCCTTTCTGTCTGAGCTGGCTGGAATCTTGAATTTATATTTCCCACCAAAACAACAGCAATTATTGGTAATTATTTAAAGGTGACCCATGTAATAAGTTAATTACTTTACTATTATTCAAGATTCCAGCCTGCCTCTCCTGCTGCTCCCTTTTCTGCGCTGTCTGCTGGGAGCTGTCTGGCTGCCTAGCTGCTCAGCTGTCTGAGCAGCAGAGCCAGCACCACGAAAAAGGGACGCCTGCCTGTCTGAGGCGCGTCAGCCACGCCTGTCTGGCCACTGCCCATCTGTCTGTCCGCGTCTGCATCTGCTGGCTGTGTCTGCTGACGTCTGCCCCGAAGCTGTACCAGCTGTCCTGAGAGAAGTCTATATATGTGTATATATATATAATTATATATATATACTGTTGGGACAATAAGTAATATAATGAGGAGGTGGATGTAGGAGGAGATATATGTATATAATTCTGACTGTGTAAATATTTAATGATGGCAAGGTAATTAAGGAATTAATGGGGGATGCACATTCTTCGCTGCCTGTCTGATGGACATCATTGCTGCCTAGCTGCTTGGCGGTGCTCCATGCAGCACACCTTTTCCCCACCAAGTGGAGTTCTTGCTGGATGTCCTGCAAGCTGGTGAGAGCTGCCTGCAGGACCTGGGTCTGCTGTTCCTTGGCTGCACAAGTGGCTCAGCCAAAAAAAAGAAAGAACGCTAAAACAGCTACCTGTTGTGCTAATCACTGCCTGATGATTGGAGATCTGACTTGTCTGGCTGTAAATCACTGGCTGAGGATTGCAAAGGTGCGGTGGCTCTTGGATGAATCTCCACCTCATGGATGAACCTGCCTGGAGCTAGCTTGGCAGCACAGAAGCAGCAGTTTGAGAAAGGACTTTAGAAAGGGAAATGGAAGGAGGTGAAGTAGTTTTTAGTATTAAGGTCTGGTGCTTACTATTAGGGAGAACCTGCCTGGAGCTAGCTTGGCAGCACAGAAGCAGCAGTTTTAGTAAGGACTTTAGAAAGGGAAATGCCAGCTGGTGAAGTAGTTTTTAGTATTAAGGCCTGGTGCTTAGTATTAGGGAGAACCTGCCTGGAGCTAGCTTGGCAGCACAGAAGCAGCAGTTTTAGTAAAGACTTTAAAAAGGGAAATGGAAGGAGGTGAAGTAGTTTTTAGTATTAAGGTCTGGTGCTTAGTATTAGGGAGAACCTGCCTGGAGCTAGCCTGGCAGCACAGAAGCAGCAGTTTTAGTAAGGACTTTAGAAAGGGAAATGGAAGGAGGTGAAGTAGTTTTTAGTATTGAGGTCTGGTGCTTAGTATTAGAGAGAACCTGCCTGGAGCTAGCCTGGCAGCACAGAAGCAGCAGTTTTAGTAAGGACTTTAGAAAGGGAAATGGAAGGAGGTGAAATAGTTTTTAGTATTAAGGTCTGGTGCTTAGTATTAGGGAGAACCTGCCTGGAGCTAGCCTGGCAGCACAGAAGCAGCAGTTTTAGTAAGGACTTTAGAAAGGGAAATGGAAGGAGGTGAAGTAGTTTTTAGTATTAAGGTCCGGTGCTTAGTATTAGGGAGAACCTGCCTGGAGCTAGCCTGGCAGCACAGAAGCAGCAGTTTTAGTAAGGACTTTAGAAAGGGAAATGGAAGGAGGTGAAGTAGTTTTTAGTATTAAGGTCTGGTGCTTACTATTAGGGAGAACCTGCCTGGAGCTAGCTTGGCAGCACAGAAGCAGCAGTTTTAGTAAGGACTTTAGAAAGGGAAATGGAAGGAGGTGAAGTAGTTTTTAGTATTAAGGTTTGGTGCTTACTATTAGGGAGAACCTGCCTGGAGCTAGCCTGGCAGCACAGAAGCAGCAGTTTGAGAAAGGACTTTAGAAAGGGAAATGCCAGCTGGTGAAGTAGTTTTTAGTATTAAGGTCTGGTGCTTACTATTAGGGAGAACCTGCCTGGAGCTAGCTTGGCAGCACAGAAGCAGCAGTTTTAGTAAGGCCTTTAGAAAGGGAAATGGAAGGAGGTGAAGTAGTTTTTAGTATTAAGGTCTGGTGCTTACTATTAGGGAGAACCTGCCTGGAGCTAGCTTGGCAGCACAGAAGCAGCAGTTTGAGAAAGGACTTTAGAAAGGGAAATGCCAGCTGGTGAAGTAATTTTTAGTATTAAGGTCTGGTGCTTACTATTAGGGAGAACCTGCCTGGAGCTAGCTTGGCAGCACAGAAGCAGCAGTTTTAGTAAAGACTTTAGAAAGGGAAATGGAAGGAGGTGAAGTGGTTTTTAGTATTAAGGTCTGGTGCTTAGTATTAGGGAGAACCTGCCTGGAGCTAGCCTGGCAGCACAGAAGCAGCAGTTTTAGTAAGGACTTTAGACAGGGAAATGGAAGGAGGTGAAGTAGTTTTTAGTATTACAGAAGCAGCAGTTTTAGTAAAGACTTTAGAAAGGGAAATGCCAGCTGGTGAAGTAGTTTTTAGTATTAAGGTCTGGTGCTTACTATTAGGGGGAACCTGCCTGGAGCTAGCTTGGCAGCACAGAAGCAGCAGTTTTAGTAAGGACTTTAGAAAGGGACATGCCAGCTGGTGAAGTAGTTTTTAGTATTAAGGTCTGGTGCTTACTATTAGGGAGAACCTGCCTGGAGCTAGCTTGGCAGCACAGAAGCAGCAGTTTTAGTAAGGACTTTAGAAAGGGAAATGCCAGCTGGTGAAGTAGTTTTTAGTATTAAGGTCTGGTGCTTACTATTAGGGAGAACCTGCCTGGAGCTAGCTTGGCAGCACAGAAGCAGCAGTTTTAGTAAGAACTTTAGAAAGGGAAATGGAAGGAGGTGAAGTAGTTTTTAGTATTAAGGTCTGGTGCTTACTATTAGGGAGAACCTGCCTGGAGCTAGCTTGGCAGCACAGAAGCAGCAGTTTTAGTAAGGACTTTAGAAAGGGAAATGGAAGGAGGTGAAGTAGTTTTTAGTATTAAGGTTTGGTGCTTACTATTAGGGAGAACCTGCCTGGAGCTAGTTTGGCAGCACAGAAGCAGCAGTTTTAGTAAGGACTTTAGAAAGGGAAATGGAAGGAGGTGAAGTAGTTTTTAGTATTAAGGTCTGGTGCTTAGTATTAGGGAGAACCTGCCTGGAGCTAGCTTGGCAGCACAGAAGCAGCAGTTTTAGTAAGGACTTTAGAAAGGGAAATGGAAGGAGGGAAATGAAATGCACAACACATTCCAAAAAAGCACCTCTCTCCAATGCAACTGCCTCTGTCAACTGCAACTCTCTTTGCTGCCAAGTTGCTGTCTGGACAGCCAGCTGCACCAAGGCTGCCTGGACCTCGGCTGCCTGGCCCGCTGCTGCCTGCTCCCCCTGAGCTGGCTGGCCGTTTGCGTTCATGGCTTCTGAGGCTGTCTTACTGACTTGCGTCTGTTGGCGCTGGCTGCCTGTCTCTGTGCTTGAACCAACAAGCCATGGAAGCTGACTGTCTGTGCACCTGACCCACTGGATGCTGGATAAATACTTACACATTCTAAATAGTTACTAGTTACATATAATTACACATATAGTTATTTGATTACATATATAAAAATTATGGATTCTATTATCTGCCAAATAAATCTTATTGCCAGCATAATTATGAAAACCCTCATGATTACTAATTACATATACACATATAATTGATTGTACATCTATTTACTTATTTGTAGCCATCATGAAGCCCTCATGAATAATTATTACATATACACGAATGAAGTGATTATATATCTATACTTTTATATACATATGCATCTAATTAATTAATTAGAATTATTTAGAAATCTTTATAAAATGAATAATCCCTTCCTCCATTCTAATGCATTAATAACTAATTAACATGACTTCGATTTGGTTCCCTAATAATAAATACCCCCCTAATACTAAAAACTACCTGCCGTGTTTTGTATTAGGGGGGGGGTTTAGTATTAGGAGGAAGGGATTAGTGTTTGGCAGGCCTGGGTGGACAGTGGTCATTCCTTGGTGGTTGGTTAAATAAGGTAAAATCAATGCCAATTTTGGCTCAAGTAAGTATTGATCCAAAATAGCAGCATTGTTTTCCTTGGACGGGAGGTAGTTGGTCTAAGTGGTGGTGTCCACTGAATGGCCAACCTAATCCCTGGGGTACATGTTGCTTTGCACACGCGTGCAGAGATACTGCACACCGCGGCATGGATGGACTTCTCCAACTACGTGCGCCTTCTTCTTCGTGCTGGGCGAGCGGCCGAGGCGCGCATCCTTTGGGAGTCTGTTGTGGAAGTCATCCATAATGGAACGAACCCAAATGTGGATGTTTTGGGGATCCCAGAGTTGCCTGGGGTGTGCAGAATACCTTGCATGGAGTCACTATGTGTGCGATGCGACACCAGAAGGGGAGGGTTTTCAGTTTCCTTTCGTGGGCATCTGGACCAAGACGGCTGTTTTGGCCCAAGCAGGTGACACAGCTCAATCTTTGTGGGAGCGTTACCATGCCGGGGAGGAGACTTTTGAACTCCTTGCGTTGCAGAGGGTTGCCTCGGGCGTTACCCGTGCGCAGCTCATCCCAAGTCATGCCCATGGGACCCTCATCAGTGACTCATCAGGCTGGCCCTGTGTCGTGACGGCATCACGCTATGGAGGGAGTGGCAGCGGGGCAGCTGTACCTGGGTGGAACCCTGGACAGGCTGCGGAGGAGTCGTGCGGGCCAACGACGATCGCCGACGAGCAGGAGACGCGGTGCGGCGCATCCTGGGTGCCGTGGAGGCTGAGGTGGAAATGTCGGCTCTGCTGGATCCCTACGTTCACATCTTGCCCAACCTGCGGCGGAGCAGTCTGCGAGGAATGCAGACGTGGAGGTGACTTCTGCCCCTTCTGCGGCTCCTCTGACGACGAGCAATGAGTCGGTCCAGTCTGGGGATGTCGAGGGGGTGGTCCGGGGAGGTTATAAGGCACGGGAGAGTGCTGGAACCAGATCATCTCCATCTACATTCTCAGCCCTGGCTCAACTAGGACTCGCGGTTGCTGCCGGTGCCATGGCGAGCGGCAAAGGAAGGTACGCTCTTGAGGCCGCGGGTGAAGCAAGCACCTGGGACCCAGTGGAAGTGAGGCAACACTTCGGGTTAGCTGATGATAGTGACCTCGCCTATGCTTTCGAGAACTACCAGGACGCCATGTCGGCAGGTGGGCTTGCTCTGGCGGCGCAATGGGCCTCAGCCCGGTCCAAAGCTGATGAGGGGCTGCTGGCGGCTGGAGCAAGGGCGGTCGAAGACAGTGGCGCTGGCTCAGCAAGAGATCGAGTCCCTAAGCTGACCGTGAAGCCAATGATCCAGCGGAGACAGGGAGTGACCCTGTCTACCAACAGGTACGGGCCTGATGCAGTGGTGCAGAGGGTGGAGTCCCTTGCGCAGTGTTTCGAAGAAATGTCTGTGCAGAGGCCGGCCCATAAGGTGACCGAGGCACGGCTGGAAGAGTGGAGGAAGCAGTTGCGGCGGTTGTCACAACAGAAAGTCACTCAAGCCGATAGCCAGACGATCATCAACGCCATCCGCACCTGGAAAGAGCTGGCGCATTACCAGGAGGACAGGGGCCTCGAAGTGGTCGAGGACTTGGACCTGGCATCATTCGTTCAGGATGGCACAGACGGCCCAGCGAGGGCCCTGGCTTCTCTGAAGTGGCTCAACAAAGCAGGCACTATGGGGTGGAACCTCACCAACATCCAGCTTCCAGTGGCACCCAATGTGAGGACGCGGAAGCGGCAGCAGGCAGTGGTTGCCGAGCCAGGCATGATCCCCTTCTTGGAGGCAGGCATCATCACTAAGCCTTGTTAGCCAACTGGTTATGTGCTGTCGGATGTTTGCGGCACCGACACATCACCAAGAGTTCCCCCCAGCGGCTTTCTGCCTCTACTATCCATGCCTGGTGTTCGCAGGGAAAGCAGGCACACTCCAGGAATGGATTTACCTGGTCAGCCCCGGCCGAGTTCACCAATGGTTTTCCGTGGGCTCAGAGAGTGATCGATGCCATCAAAGAGCTGCCCGAAGAGAAGCAGCAGACCTGTGGTATGGCCTTTGACGGGGAAGGGATCCCCTATCCTATCTCGGAGGTCCAGAAGAAGGCCCAGCTCCTTTTCGAGAACCATGTCGATGATGCAAGGAATATCACAACATACACATGGCGACGGGTAGCACCTACGGTGGGTTTGCTCTCGACCTTCACGGACTTGGAGCTGAACGCATTAGGAGACTGGACAGATGAGGTCAAATCATCTGCCAAGATGCCAGCACACGATGCCAGCACACTATGCCGGTTCCAAAGAAGCGATGTCAACAAGGATGAAGCACATGGCCTATGCCATCATGGCCAATTTGACCAAGTTTGAGTCTTGGGAAGTGATCCCAATGGATGATCTGCATGCTGCAGTGGTGCAGGCAGAAGCAACGGTTGCCAAGAAGATCAACCAGGACGTGGTCACTAAATGGCAGGCGAAGGCATCGCCAACCTCGGTGAAGAGGTCATTCAACTTCGTTCAGCAGGCCCTCGTGCAGAGAGATAAGGCCAAGGAAGAGGCCGCTAGGGCAGGCCGCCCGGCAATGCCCCCGGCCATAGGGGGGAAGTTGCTCACTAAGTTCCTGAGGAACGGGACCCCACTATGCGCCCTCTTTCAGTCTGGGAAGTGTGAGGAGGAGCAGTGCCCGGAAGCCCACGTTTGTGCCGTTGTATCCAGAACTGGACGGGCATGTGGCGGCAAACATAGTGCCCACGTCTGCTGGACGAAGAAGGCTCGATTGGCGGAGGGTACCGTCACATCTCCGGTGCTACCGCATCCTTCCACTCAGGAAGAGGCCACGGTACAGGCAGTACCAGGCGGCACATCATCGAGCTCCTCAGAAAGCATAGTTCCATTGGCCAAGCGGGCAAGGAGACAAGAAGCGCCGGTAACCCCACCAAAGGCCGGGGCGCCGGTGACGCCGCCGAAGGCGCCTGCGGTGGCTCCTGCCCAAGCTAAAGCGGCACCGAAGCTGCAGCCGCAACCAAAGGCCAAGAGAACAGCAGCAGCGGGTGGCGCCTCCACGCCCAAGCAGCCGCCGGTGGCGAAGGCATCGTCATCCAGGCCTGCGCTTGAGGTCCATGAGTCGGGGATGGTGATTGAGCGGCCAGCGCACATCCCGGCGGACGAGGACTTCGTGCTACCTCCTATGCCGGCAACCCTGAATCCACCCCAAGAAGAAGTTATTTGGGATCGCCTTGCAACGATCAAGGGGAAGTATGCTCAGGCCCCAACCAAGGTTCTGGAGATGAGTTCAGGGGGCCAGTTGTGGCTGGCAGGGCTCCCAACGGCAGCCAACAAACATCGGTTCCCACCGGCCACCCTGCAGATCGCATGCTTCACGGAGAGGCCAGAGGCGCGGAATGGAGTGGTGCTGCCCAACGCGCTGCTGAGGCGATTCCCTGTGGCCGTGGCATCAGAGCGTGCAGAAGCGTGGAAGGAGTTATGGCCTTTGGTTCTACAGTCCTTGTACTGTGGCGAAGTCATCGTCACGCACTGCATTGCGGGTCGCCACCGAGCCGGAGGAGCCACAGCTTTGATCAGGGCGGTGATGATGGGTGAGACCTTTGAGGTCGCTTCGGACTGGATAGCCCAGAGAAGAGACACCGATGTGCCTGGCTTCTGCAGAGACAAAGAGGCCGCCAAGTGGCTGCAGGAAGCCGTGAAGAACACGAAGCGGAGGGACCGCTGGCCACGCCCATCGGGATATCTGGCAACTCCGAGGAGCGCACTCCATTTGCAGGGCTTCAAGCATGTGCCGCTATGCATGCACCACCAGAAGTCGGACAAGGCCCAGCGCTTGACGGACCCAATGTTCACCGAGGATGGCGATGAGGCAGTGCGGACCGACCGTGGTGCAGAGCTTGCTTGGCCCGCGCCCCAGCATCATGGCTGCCACGCGATGCAGGTTCCGAGTGAGTGTAGCAGAGCAGGGCAAGTGACGCCACCTGAAAGCAGGGAGGCATCACGGTAACCTTTTTCTGCAGGCTAAGAGCTTGGAGAGGGATGCATTTTTGGGGGCCAGCGGAGCTCTCCGATCCTCTCTTTTATTTAATTCAGTCATAAGATGTCCATTTGTTTGGTTCAAGCTACCATGACAGGATCAGAACCTCAGATAACAGCTCACTTTCGGTGAAAATGTGAGGGAAGTAATCCAGAGGAGGGATTCTCGTGGTAGCAAGTTTATGGCATTTTGAAGTACTCAGCTAGGGAGTAGGCAGTTAGGGAGGTCGCTAGTCCAGCTTTATCCCAACCTTCCCTTTGAGGCTTCTTAGGTCTTTCCCCCTTTTTCGGCATGCAAGCACTGAGTGCAGTCTGAGAATGCCAGGGAGGGGAGTCTGTGTCCAGGGGGTCCTGGGTTCAATTTGAGTGAGCGGAGTAACCGCGTGCAGGTCTGTGTCTTCAGCTTTTGCTCAAGACAGCCTAGGACTGCTCGGGGGACCGAGGAGGGCTGGTGCGGGCGGAACCCGTATGAGCTCATCAGGGTTGGTACTTAGAGAGGGGGGGACCCCAGAAGTTTCCCTAGCGGCACTAGGGGTTAACTTCAGCCTTGACGACGTGATCGTGAAAGGGCTAATCAAAGAAAAGATAGCCAACCTTGAAGAATTCCGATTTTTCTTTCATGATGGGGCCCAAGTGGAAACTTGGGTAACCAAGCTCGGGGTGACCGATGACAAAATGGTGCAGATTGCCAGGCTGAGGAGGGCCTGGGCGGCAGTCTCACTGTTTTATCAAACGGCCGAGCAGGACCGGTCTAAGGTGCAGACCACCGATTTGGACAGCATGCTCAATGAGAGTGAGCTGAGGGACTCCAAAACAGCCTTCTGGCGGCGGTACCGCTTGAAGTTCCCTACTGAGGTACATCCGGCGGATACAACCGTCTCAAGGGTGAGTCGGGAGCTATCCAAGAGGATGTTATGCGTGTTCAACCTGTGGAAGGTGAAGACACTTCAATTCCAGCTGACAACCAATCAGAAGAAGCGCAAGCTGGGTGAGAACCTCTATACGGAAGAAGTGGATGAAGACGAACCTTGCCAGCACAATGTGGAGTCGTACCTGGACCGCCTCTACACCCTCATGTTGGCCTACGCGATTGCTGAAGTCGCCCCCCCATCGGGCACAACACCAGACGCTACCAAGGAGGCAGCCTTGGGGGCCGATTCTACAGAGTTTGCTGCGGTACCTTTGGACGTGTGCATGACCTACTGGTTTCGAGCAAAGAGGACGTGCTATCAGGTGCACCCTTCCAAGAGGATGGTATGGTTGCAGGCAAGAGACCAAGAAGAACGGGCTGAATGGACATCCCGATTCAGGGAGAGCACCCTGACGCTGGGAGTCATCATCAAAGAGGTCTTTCAGGCACGGGATGCTCACTGGATACCCCCTGTGGGTAGTGAACCCTCAGGGGCATCTACTGCGATGGCGCCAGTGCCGAACAGCAAGGTGGCGACTGCACCTGCATCTCCGAACAAGCTCATCCTTGGCAAGTCCATCAACGGCAAGCGGGTTGCCAAGGTGATGAGGGATGGTACAACCCTATGTCAGGGCTTTCAACGAGGAGATTGCAAGCAGAAGGGCAAATGCACTGCAGGTGCCCACCGATGTGGAGTTAATCACACGAGGGGACAGAGTCTGTGGCGCGCCTGGGCATGGGGCCCACACGTGCCGATCCAACATCAAGGAGTGAAGGGGCCCCGGAGAGGAGGCGGCAGCCTCTTCTGGGGTCGATTTTCCACCTATGCCGCCACAGTCCCCCCCTTGCAGCAGACATCATGAGTGGACCAGGGGCACCGGTCAGCAAGGCGTTGTTATGGTGCGGATGGAGAGTGTTGCCCATTGACATCCTCCTGGACCCCACTCATGACCTCAGCGATGCAACCCGCCAGGCACTTCTGCACGAGCAGCTACAAGAGGCTGACTGCATCATGGCTGCGTTGGATTGCTCTACCAAATCTAGGGCTCGAGAGATACCACTGCACTTCAGCGATGGCAGACCCAGCCCTCAGCCGTTGCGCTCCAATGACCACCCAGAGGGCTTACCAGGGCTAAGCCCCCAGGATGAAGCTAGGGTGGAGCGTGATAACAAGGCAGCTGGATTTGTCCTGGAAGAGATCCAGGCCATGGTGCAGCGTGGAGGTGCCACAATCCGAGAGAACCCTGGCCGAAGCCTCCACTGGGAGTTACCCGAGGAGAAGAGGTTGATGGACTCGGGGCAGTATTGGGAGACAGAGTACTCTGCCTGCGTCTTCCAATCGGCACGGTGCAAGTACCAGAAGCTGAGGCACAACGTCCTGGAGATAGCTCAATGGCCCAAAGCACTATGCGCTCACACTCATGCGAGGGATGAGTGGAGGCCATGGACGGAGCATGGGCAGCGGGTCTACCCGTCAAAAGGGGAGGCGGAATACTCCGCAGGCCTAGCTTTTGCGCTGGCAGTTGCGCTTTCATGGTGGGCGGTACGAGTTGGGCGAGCTGTGCTTCATGTACCTCGGATGCCACCTATGGAGGCGGTGGGCCGCCGGGAGCATTGGCTGGAGCTGCACCCGCAATCGGGCAATGGCACCATTGGCCATCCTGCTGAGTCTGGAGCCACCACACCCCCGGGAGCGTGCAAGGATCCCCAGCCGGGGTCGGGTGAAAGAGCTGCTGCATGAGGGGCAGTTGCCAGCAGGGGCCATCTACGTGGGGCAAGGCCATCACTCACACAGGTTACCCACTACATGTTGGAAGTCACCGTTCGTTGCAGGCCATGATTGTGCTCCAGATGAAGTAATGCCCTTGTATATCGACCATATCAAACGTAACTTCGGACAAGAGCTCCATTCCCTGTTGGGGAAGACACTAGTGTGTGATTGCGCCGAGGATGAACTCTGTGAGGCGGACGTTCTAGCAGGTTTGGTGTTTGAAGCCACGAGCCCTAATGCTGCAGCCCCACACCCACGGGCAGCTGGCATACCACCCAGGAGAGTTGTGCGGGGTCCTAAGCGAGGGAGTTTAGCCCTGGCTGCCTTGCAAGCACCGACATTGGCTGGTTCGTCGGTAGTCAGGTGGACGCAAGAAGCTGTGGTCACAACTTTCCGGAAGCTCTTCCCAGCTGAATGGTTCTCTGGATTCAAGTTCCCCATGATCGAAGACCTCGTGAACCAGCATCCCTTCTGCAGTTACGTGCAATGGCGTGAGGCGCAAGGGTTGGAGTGGGATGGTCCCCTTAACCCTGCTGGGGGGTCTGGCGTTACCAGACTGCGGCAGAGGCACGCTGAGGGCAAACAGGCAGGGAGCCTGAATCATCGAGCAGCACTCCCGCCTCTTCTTCCCTTCGGATTGGACCCAGACGAGCACTTTGAGGCCGCCTGCACTGTGGGGCAGTATCCTCTGCCGACGGAGAGATCGCCTGTTGTGGACACCGACCTCCAATTTGCCGCGCACATGCATGCTCAAGAGAAGGACTCCCTGGGGTCATGGAGGAGGCGAGCTCTGGGCATGTTGAGGGAATTGGAAAGGCGATGGACCCCAGTAACAGACCAGCTGCGCACTCTCCAAACAGACGCAATCGCGAGAGTCACCACCAAGAGGGACTTGGGGCTGACTGCACTGCTGGTGGTGATAGCCCAGTGGGGGGATACCTGCTATCCCTATGGCCTTATCACGGGGCTACCAGCAGTGGGCACGGCGCCTTGCTACAACATCTTTCCAGCGCAACAAGGGAGCATCATCAACCTGGCCGAGGTAGTTGCGGACACTGATGAGCACAACCGAGCCATTATCGCAAAGCTGCGACCTGGTCTTCATGATGAATTTCTGTTGTCACAGAGCTTGGTGGATGCAGATAAAGGCTTTGGCACGCAGCCTATGACTTGGTCAGAGCTTTTACGAGCCACAAAAGGGCGCCCATTCCGGCTCATCCCACGATGCGTCATTGTGCAGCCGAGTGGGAAGAAGCGTATCATCGATGATGCAGCAGTGGGCGGCCAATCGGCACTGTCATCAGACTCCAACAAGCTGGTACTGTGCAGTGCACTTCGACCAGCCCAACATGTTGCAGCAGTCGCGAGCTGGATGTCCCAGAGTGACTGGGATCATCACATGACTCATGACCACTTCGAGAGCGGAGGCGAGGATTGGCCAGATGCTTATCGACACAGTCCAATCTCCAGGGAAGAGAGTCTTGGCTGTGTTGTTACTTGGTGGCATGATGAGTGGCAGCAACCTGCTTTCCAGCTCTACAACTCCTTGCTTTTTGGGCTCCCACTGGCAGTGACAAGCTTCAATCGCTATTCCAAGTTTGTAGAAGCACTGGGACGACGCCTTCTTGCTTGTTTGGTGTCTATGTACTTCGATGATGCGAATGTGGTAGACTGGGGCAGCTCCAAAGGGGCGTCGCAGACGGCATTCATACATCTCAATGAGATCCTTGGTGCCCCCTTTGCGGTGGAGAAACATCAGCCTATGTCCAGCCAGGGGCTTTTCCTCGGATTAGACCATGATATGTCCCATTTGAACTCTACTGGCTCCATTAGCTTTTGGCCCCGCCAACGCCTCATCGACAAGATCAAAACTTTGATGCGTGATTGTCGAACCTCAGCCCGGCTACATGCAGGTACAGCTTCCAAGATCTACGGCATGATGAACTTCCTCGAACAAGGAACCTATGGGCGTATTGGCGCTCAAGGGCTTGCACCCATCAAGGAGAGACAGTATGAGAAGGGCATTGTCCTGACAACTCGAATTTTAAAGAGTTTTGAAGTCATCGAAGCGATACTTCGGGACAAGCCGAAACGTCAGTTTTTCATTTTTCCTCCCCCATGCCTACGGTTTGTAGGTGCGTCGGATGCAGCTCTGGAGTGTCCAGGGCAGGGCACCGGGGGGTTCTGCATCGTCTGGATGGATCAGCCTGGGGTCACCAGGGAGGCTTTCATCGCAGACTTGCCACAGGAAGTATATACCCTGTGGGAACCAGGCGACCGCAAGATTGCACAACTGGAGATGGTTGTCATCTTGCAAGCATTAGTTTGTAGACCACACCAATTTCGCGAGAGGCGCGGAGTGTGGTTCATTGACAATGTGGCGGTCCTTTTGACGTTGATCAAGGGACGAAGTGATTCCCCAGATCTTGAAGTCATGAGCGGCATAATCCACGCGTTGCTTTTTGCTTATAAGACCTGGATATTTTGGGAATGGGTACCTTCCAAGAGTAACTGGACTGATTCGATCAGCCGACTTGGATGGAACGACCCATGGTTTAAGACCAATGGTTTCACAGCGCAGTTAGCACCTTTTCCAGCCATTCTCTGGCATCTTCCCACAGCGGCCATCATTCGCACGGCCGAGTTTCTTTAAATGCATTGGGACTTAGTGCGTTGGGTGTGGAATGATACATGGAGGGATCCAGTATCTGAGCCTGACTGGAACAGAATGCCACCATCAGCAGGGCTGATTGATCTATAGGCATACCCAATGCATTACCCTGTAGGAATACAGGTTGGAAGAACACAGAGAATATGGTTTGAGAAAAAGGTTGTGCCTACCTGATGCTGCGAGGGTTAGTGACTAACCGGTGACTTATTCCCCAACCTTTAAGGAATGTATGACTGTCTAGTGTTTGTTTGGCCTGGGTGGACGGTGGTCATTCCTTGGTGGTTGGTTAAATAAGGTAAAATCAATGCCAATTTTGGCTCAAGTAAGTATTGATCCAAAATAGCAGCATTGTTTTCCTTGCCCTCCCTAAATCGGAGATTTTGACCCACCCTGTTATTAGGACCTCTGTGAGGTATCCTCATAACTTGTAGTCTGCGCTGCAGACGGGGTCTAATTGTGCACAGAGATCTGTGAATACCTATAGATTGGAGGTGGTACTGTCCCAGCGGGTGTGGAATGATACATGGAGGGATCCAGTATCTGAGCCTGACTGGAACAGAATGCCACCATCAGCAGGGCTGATTGATCTATAGGCATACCCAATGCATTATCCTGTAGGAATACAGGTTGGAAGAACACAGAGAATATGGTTTGAGAAAAAGGTTGTGCCTACCTGATGCTGCGAGGGTTAGTGACTAACCGGTGACTTATTCCCCAACCTTTAGGGAATGTATATATGTATACTATATACATAGGCATCATATATACACATATAAATATGCACACTGTCTATGTGTAGTCTTTTTCAAGTCACACAAGATGCAGCTTGGTGGAATCTGATTGTTTTTGTCACGTTTCGTTCATGTTAGAGACTTGTAGTGTGGGAAGAGCAGGCATTGCTGCATCACAGCCGAAGCCATTTTGCGGCCATCAGGAAGCTGATGCCATCGCCAAAGCAAAGCGTGCGGAACTCTGTGCCGCGCATCAGTCGATGATCTTCACGTCATTTCTGATGATCTATGAGGCAGTGTGCATGTGTTTGTTTGCAGGCAGAACTAGAAACGCAGTTGTCAACTATGGAGTCCACAGCAAGAATAAGAAACAATGAGAAAACTCCAATTTGGAGCTGAAGTTTGCAGCTTGAGAGCACCAATCATCGAAATGCCCAAACTCTTTGGGATGTGCTGAGGACATTCCACCTCCACAGGATTACAGACTCAGCACCACGCGCAAGCGGAGGCAAGGCAATGGCCTACATCATCCCATACAATTGGTCGGTATAAACAATCTCCACATGGTAGTTGTTCATGGCATTGGACATGCAAAAATCGATGATCAGTTGACGTTCACCTTTCGTAACACGTATTAACACATGTTCTTCCAGCTGCCAATGCGCTTGGGAAATGGATGAAAATGGGTGGTTTCAGGTTGGAAGAAAAGAAAGCACACCCAGCAAGGGAGACCTCTGATGCTGCAGTGACCTTGCAGATTCCAGAAGGTGTCGTCAAGACTGCAGAAGATCCTCCAGAAGAGGCTCCAGAGGTGAAGGAAAGTGTACCTGGCCTAGAGTGATTCGAATTTTGAGGCCAGATATCAACAGATTTCCAGTAGTATTTAGCTAGAGCCAGTCGCAACTCTTGGTACCCTAAGGAGGCAGATCTGACAGAAAGGGCCAAAGAGGCCAAAGAAGAGATGGTGCAAACGGCCCAGGCAGGAGCCTGCAAGTAGCAACACATCCCCACCACCCGAATGATGTTAGTCACCCTTAGGCCCTTGGATGCCCTTGGTGGGGGTCGCATGGTCGAGTGGTGCAGAGCCCGTGGTCTCCCTTTCCTGCGGCCTCCAGGTAGTTGATCAATCAGCTTCACAGAAAGTCCTGCCGGTTGGGTGCCATGCTTAGTGTAGCTGGTCGCCACAGCAGTTCACACTCTGTATATGGGATGGGTCAACACGTCTCAGCACCTGTGTGCTATATGGATCCATATGAAGTGAATGGCAGACTTATGTCGTAATTATACTACTGTACCAGCTCTTTTGGTGTGAACAGCAGGGTACTGATTGGGTTTTAACCCGTTCCCATATCACTTTTTGAATATGTTTCATATTTTTCCCATATCATCCATCACCATTCACTTTTGTTCATGACTTGATCCATCTTTATCATTCTTTATCCATTTTCATCCAAGGTCAATTTGCGAAGCTCCGCCTCCATCTGGTGTGCTGCCACAGATTCTCTCCTGGAGCAAGGGAACCATTTGGATTTCCTGGCTCTTTGACTGGGCTGATGTGTCACGACCTTAGACCTCAACGGCAGATCAAGTTGTGAAGCATTGCACACCTGCTTGTCTTTTTTTAATGGGTCTTAGGCATGTGTTTTGGTCAACGGGCGAAAGGGAGCAAGAGAGAGACAGACAGGCAGAAAAACACTAGTACTACAATGACATATTGCATAATTTTACAATTTCAGACATTTAGACGTGTTTGGCACTGGAGACACGTCAAGGCATCGTGGCTTTGCTGAAGCCTCGGCGGAAAAGATTTGTGCTTTCGAAGTCTTGCAGTTCAGCAGTGACTGCGCTAGTCTTTCCCAAGCAGAACTGAGCCTTTGCTTAAAAGGTTTGCTGCATGCAATTATGATCTAATAGAATCTATAGTATGCGTTCATGTGTATTAATGATATAGATATAATATGCGCATAAGTATTGCATAAGTGGCATTTTTGGCCTAGTAATTAGACGCAAAATGGCGATCAACGGTCAGCATTTGCAGACCGTTGCATCCCTGCGTGGTCATTAAGGAATTCACGGCCATCAGCCTCCAGGCCATTCTTTGTGTGTATATAGACATTATATACATACTTGTATGTATCAATATCAGAATTTGTTACACATATATATATATATACCTACCTAAGAAATATTAAGAAATATGTTTTAAACTAAAATAGATATATTCACATAGGCATACATTGTATAATATTATATGCATATCAGATTATCGCAGCTTGTTCCTCAGTGATTTTCCCCTCAGTAATCCTGGAGGAACAGCTTTTGTCAATGCAGGTGGCGTTGTCCAACAGCTCCGTTGAAGATGGATGTTCCGTTGGGACGTTGCAGCCTCAGGGATGCAATCAACGTTGGACTGCATGATATTTATTTGTTTCTCCAAAAATGATGCCCCAAAAACTGACTACACTAAAAAAGGAGAAAACGATGATAGGCAAATATACGCAATTTTATTTTGGGGTATTTCAATTTCAGTCCAACCGACATGTAGAATAGAACTTGCAAGTTGCAAGAGGCACACACGCACATAATATATATATATGTATATGCAGCACTTATCTATAACATATATCTATCAGGGAAATTACAGAGAACATTGTCGCCGCGTGTCGCGATATCCTTTCCCCAGGTCATTTCGTCTTTGGTGTGCGTGCCATCCTCTTAAAGAGTGGCCAACTGGAGGATGCTGAGATGCTTTGGGCTTCATCGGTATCTTCACCTGTCCTTATCTCAGATGTAGATGTCAATCCCAGAATGGCAAAACCCTGGCTGATTAAGGGCTTAGCCCCTAAAATCTGCTAGAGTAAAAGCCTGAAATAGTATCCCGCACGGCAAAGCCCAAGCAATTGTGCTGCATTAGTTAAAGTGCTGCAGAAAGTCAGGATTTGCATCTTCCTAGGGTTGGCCGTCTCCGGAAAGTGGAACAGTTCGTATCAGGTGACGCTTGACCTGAGATATTCGACCAGCAGCAGCAGCCCTTCTCTGCCAATAGCAGGGGGGTCTGCAGGAAGTCAGGAGAATCCCCTGGAGAGATCTCCGAAGGAGACATCTCAGGAGAAATCTCCAAACAGCAGCAGCCCTTCTCCTCGCCCTGCCCTCAGCTGGCTTTTTGCCCATTTTTGCCCGGAAACTTCACAAAAGGCTAATTCAAAATGATTGGATCTGAGTGCCAAAAACATCCCGGCGGAAGCGTTACCGGCGTGCGAAAATGATCAAATTTACCACTTCCTCACAGCGAGGAGCCAGTTTTTGCATTCAAAACCTATCGAAAAAAAAGGTCCGTCTACTTTGGTAATGACAACCCTTCCATCACTTCAGCCTCAAAAAGGGCAACCGCAACTTTTTCTCACATTGAAGATCATAGAGCGTAGCATCAAGTTCATGTGGAAATGCCAATGAAGATCATAGAGCGTAGCATCAAGATCATGTGGAAATGCCAATGAAGATCATAGAGCGTGGCATCAAGTTCATGTGGAATTGCAGTTGAAGATCACAGAGAGTAGCATCAGGTTCATGTGGAAATGCCAGTGAAGATCATAGACCGTAGCATCAAGATCATGTGGAAATGCCAATGAAGATCATAGAGCGTAGCATCAAGATCATGTGGAAATGCCAATTGAAGATCATAGAACGTAGCATCAAGATCATGTGGAATTGCAATTGAAGATCATAAAGCGTAGCATCAAGATCATGTGGAATTGCAATTGAAGATCATAGAGCGTAGCATCAGGTTCATGTGGAAATGCCAATGAAGATCATAGAGCGTAGCATCAAGATCATGTGGAAATGCCAATGAAGATCATAGAGCGTAGCATCAAGATCATGTGGAAATGCCAATGACGTTATTATCCCACCCCACCCCACCCCACCCCAGACTATCGGATGCGGATGTGTGGAATTGCAATTGAAGATCATAGAGCGTAGCATCAAGTTCATGTGGAATTGCAATTGAAGGTCATAGAGCGTAGCATCAGGTTCATATGGAAATGCCAATGACGTTATTATCCCACCCCACCCCACCCCACCCCACCCTTCCCCAGGCTACCGGATGTGGATTTGTGCGACGGTAACGAGTCCGTTGGCAAAAACATGTTTTTCCGGAGGGGGAGATACATGGAGAGACTAGATGGATCTAGATGGTATCATATTATTTTCTCGGAATATAGATTGCATTGCATCGCAATACATTACGGCTACATTACGGCTACTTTACGCTACATTACATTACATTACATCACATACATACACATACAATATATATATATAAGATTATATATGTATGTTTTCTATATATTACACATATTTCTGCAATACTTATGAATATGCAGTAACCTTAAGGGTATGCTCGTCGCAATGCAGTCCTGCAGGTCGCGGGCGCGGCGCTAGTGGACCCGTGGCCAGCGGCATTGGGGAATTTCTCAGCGGAGGCGGCTGGGATCAGCGGCTCTGTGATAGACATTTGTGAGCTGACTACATATAGAATCATCCTAAGGTAGATAGAAGATTGGGATGTTCGAACATACTCATTTGTTTACATTTTATTTGCTCCAGGATGGTTAGTTAATATTAATTATATATTTTGAAAAACAAACATGGCTGTGCATACAACTATAATGTGTAGATTGATATCGTTGCAATGGCATATGTATACGATTGTATGCGTTGAACTGGTTTGATGTATAGTCATCACTGCATACTATACATGATTGCATGATATAGCACGTGAATGTGAGAGTTTGTGCGTGTGTGTGTGTGTCTTGTGTGCAACTACAGTTACAGTATCATATTGATATATGTGTAAGATCTTGTGAATAGATTTGACGGTATAGATATCGTACGGTATCTATGTACGCTCATAACATATAATATATATATATTATGTATAAAGAAGTCGTGCCATTAGGAAGATTTTTGAAGCGTTTACCGTGGTATTCCACTTGCCTATGTGTGAGTGAAAAGGCGTGCAAGCGCTGATGCAAGAACTCCATTCCTAGGGACGTAACAAGACCTCGGGTGCGGATCCGAATAATCCATTATAATCCATTAGTTTTAAGAGATATGTGAGCTTCACTGACTCGGATAGACATATATCGAAATGATCAACCCCCAAGATTCGATAGTTACCGATAGTTCCAATGCAAATGATCAAAATTCATCAGTCTGATCCAGTTATGACCCATAGGATCCATGTATGCTATATATGGTAACATTTACCATCAATATACCCCAAATGTTAGTATATATATACCATACATGGATCCTATGGGTGAATCCATTTGACCCATACAGAGATACCCATTGTGAGACCCAGACTGAGACGACGACTCGTCGAAGTCGCAGGTTCACCCTCGAGGCGCGTGTCTTTGCGACCCTTTGAGACCGCGAGCCCTGGCAAGAGCCCAAAGAGCCTCGAGGCCAGCAGGGAGAACTCAGGAAAGACATGGGAAAAAATAAACAAGTTTTGAAACAAGGAGGTGTTTGAACATGTCTGAAAATTGGGATTCAACGGTGGATTCATGGGTCATCATGGGTCCATTTTTGGACCCCAGGAAAGTTTGGTGCGCCTGGCCTTTTGGCAATGCTTGTGTGCAGGTTGGTGGCCCGGACTTAGGGCCTTTCGAGCGAGACCAGGACGGTTTGTTCCCCAATTTATGGCAAGTCTAATGGGACAATGATGATAAATCAGTGGATTTTGAGGAACCCATTGGTTGGTTGACTATGTGATGACCATGGTATTCTATGGTGATGTGCAGCTAGTTCTGTACATGACACGCGTCGTCTCGTTCGAGGCTCCCTCAGGGCACGCGAAGTCTCAAGCTAGAGAATCAACTGGCAGTGGAACACCCACAGCGCATCAGGTGGAGGAGTTTCTTCGATTCTGTTGGTTGGCGCAACCGTCAACTTTGTGCTTAGCTTGAGCATCAACATGAACAAGTTCAATTGATGCTGCATGATGTTGCAGTTTTTCACCTCTTTCCTGCACCAAATCCCGCAGGAGCCTCCCGTTACAATGCCGGAGTCGAGGGAGAGTTTGGCGGTTGCCAAGCTGCAGTCGAGAATCCTGGAGTCATTCTGCCTGCGGTTTTGCCAGTGATCCAGTGACCATCAGGCTGAAGGGAGCCCGGGAACCACACTCCCTAGATCCAACGATGAGCACTGGACAGAAACTGACACAACTGCCTCTGTTTCTTGGCCAAAGATCAGCCAGAGTCAGAGATTACAGTGGACACCTTTTTACTTGTGTTCAGTTATAGTTTCAGTTAGATATGACATGACTAGACTCATTGGGATATCATATCCTAACCTTCCCCTTGGTAAATCCAATTGTTACATATATTCTTATTGGGATTAAATTTCTGGTAAATTTCACTGTAACACCAATGTTACCAATTGGACCCAATTGGGATATCCTATAATTTTCCATAATTTTCCTAATTGTCCTCATTGGTATTACCCTCTGGTAAACTAACATAACTGTGGAAAAACACAATGTTTTATGGGAAAACTCACTATAAATGGCCATGTTCAATAGCTATGTTAAATTACCCGGCGGGTTGTTTATCGAACCCGCGTTTTCAACGTTTGCAGTGTTCGACATTGATTTTATACCACAAATCACAGTGTTTTTGCATTTCCCTGAAAGTGCAATTTCCTTAAAAAGTACGCGCGTACTTTTGACTGGAAATGTAAAAAACCTCAGCGGCACTCTCTTTTTTTCTGCGCTAAGTGTTCTTGACAATCTGTGCAGTGAGCTTGGACAGGTTTTTGTGGGAATGGTTTTCCCATCGCCACTGCCAAGCGCGAACATGCGTCCAAATCTTGCCATTGAGCAAGGTTGGATTTCTAGCACTCTTCGTATGAAGATTCTTAGGCAAGGATCCTTTGATCAGCCGCCAAACAATGTCAATTGTGCCCGTATGGACATCAATGGTGAGCATCATATATGTGAGGAAGTGCAAGACGAATTGCAGCAGCGTAGCATCATATATGTGAAGAAGTGCAAGACGAATTACAGTAGCGTAGCATCATATATGTGAAGAAGTGCAAGACGAATTACACTAGCGTAGCATCATATATGTGAAGAAGTGCAAGACGAATTACAGTAGCGTAGCATCATATATGTGAAGAAGTGCAAGACGAATTACACTAGCGTAGCATCATATATGTGAGGAAGTGCAAGAAGAATTACAATAACGTAGCATCATATCATATATGTGAAGAAGTGCAAGACGACGTACAATAACGTAGCATCATGTTTGTGAGGAGGTGCAAGACGAATTGCAGTAGCGTAGAATCATATATGTGAAGAAATGCGAGACGAATTACAATAGCGTAGCATCATATATGTGAAGAAGCGCAAGACGAATTACAGTAGCGTAGCATCATATATGTTAAGAAGTGCAAGACGAATTACAGTAGCGTAGCATCATATATGTGAGCAAGTGCCAATGAACGTTATTACCCCACCCACCCCACCTCACCCCACCCCACCCAACACAATAACGTAGCATCATATATGTGAGGAAGTGCCAATGAACATTATTACCCCACCCCACCCCACACAATAACGTAGCATCATATATGTGAAGAAGTGCCAATGAACGTTATTATCCCACCCCCCCCACCCCACCCCACCCCACACAATAACGTAGCATCATATATGTGAGGAAGTGCCAATGAACGTTATTATCCCACCCCATCCCACCCCACCCCACCCCACACAATAAGGTAGCATCATATATGTGAGGAAGTGCCAATGAACGTTATTATCCCACCCCACCCCACCCACCCAACAAGAACGTAGCATATATGTGAGGAAGTGCCAATGAACGTTATTATCCCACCCCACCCCACCCCACCCCGTTAACCCCATGAATGACATAAAAAGATGCAAAACGCTGGTTCGGTTTTCAACCCGTAGGCTTAAATTACCAGAGGGTAAAACAGAAATTTACCAGAAATTGGAAAATAGGAAAATTGGATCATTAAGTAATTTCCAGATATTTCCAGGACTGTCACAATTGGATTACAATTATCCTAATGAATCCATTGGAAAATCCATTGGACTGTCACAACTTCACCGTTGTCCCGAGAAACAGCTGTGCCACAGGGACAATCGCCCTCCAGTCCTCAGGACTGACTGGCTGTGTCCCATGCGTAATGTTTGGGATAGTGCAAGGCTGCAAGGCACGAAGGTGCAATTATCCGAATTATCCAATATTCAATGGCTTTGTATAAGTTATTAAATCATAGATTCTATATCATTTTGTGATATGTTGTGTATGTTTTTTTGGGGGCATATTTGCAAATCACCATGCCATGCGGGATGCTATGCCGCTATGCAGGTTTTTTTTTCGCCAGGACTTGAAGGACTTGAACGACTTGAACGACGAATCATTGCGACTTCTGATGAAAGCCTGCAGCGTCCTGGAAACGAGCAGAACATCCCAGTCTTCCAGGTGTTTTGTTATTTTTCTTGTGCGCCAGGGTTAACACAAATGCAGCTGTCCGATCCAGACATGCAAGATCATGCAAGCATATTACACACAGTAATTATATTTAAAATATGCATGTGCATGCATGTGCATGTACATATAACATATAATTTACATACAGTATATGTATAGTTATGTATATGTATATATATAAATATATAGGCAAATAGAATCATATATGAACCATATGGTGTAGGTACGGTAACGATACTTCATATGTTTTTGGATGTTTTTGGTTCAGCCATCACCAACTTTAGCCTCATAACATGTAAAGACTGAAAGCCTCGTTCACAACATTCTGCCAGGACTTTCGAACCAACTCAACAAAGTTCTGGGCCACCAGCATCGGGCACATCCCATGCGCAGCCGACGGTTGAACCGAAGGAAGCATCGCATGCCATACGGACACTCTCCGTGCCAAGGGCCCCTTGGCTGAACCAAAATGAATGTCACATGAATGTGGCATGCGACGAAAATTGTGAACAGGTTTATGGTATAGTTAGTGGTTTATTAATGTTTATTATTTTGACCATCCAACATGTTTAACAATCCGCTATTTTAGAATATTATATAATCGAATATGACATAATATGACCAATTATGTGGGCCCATCGCTGAGGCTCGCTCCATTTACGAAGATGATGACTTCGTGAATGGTGTTTGGGCTGATCATGGATCCTGGTGATGACCGCCCGGCTGGGTTTGCTGTTACTTCCTGGGTCCAGTTTGAATGTCGTTTTTTATATTCGAACGGCTCAAGCACTGCATGACACACTGATTATAGGGGCGTATTTGACTTTCTATTACTTTCTATTCATTCTCTTCTCATCTCTGTCCTTTCCCTATCTTTCTCTCTTGCCCTCAGGCCGCTGGTATTTCTGTGGCCAAAAAAACTGTGCGGCCCCTTTTTGGATCAATGATCATCAGGTATGGCGGAAAAGCTGAGCAAGTCGAATGTCTACCTGGAGACCCATTACGAACCTGGAGATCCTGGAGATCCTGAAGATCTTGAAGGCCGGAGGAGGCTAAGTGCTGCTAAGAAAAAATCCCGCCTGGTGGATGAAAAACAGAGTATGGATCGTGATCTTTGTGGATGGACATCTAAATAAACCAGCTATTTGATTGTGTGAAAAAAAGAGCTACAGAATCTACGGACAGTGTTTAAACCCACACCCAAATCATGAAAAATCATGAGTGTAACCTCGGTCGACCAGTCATCTGCTAATTGAGTACCGGTTGCAAGATCGAATGTTGTGTTTACGCGCAAGGTGTTGGCTCTTTCAGGATATGATAATATGGTTTTCATTGGTTTTCGAGATATTATGAGATCTTACAAGTCGAGATAAAAACCAAAAACAGACACATACATGTATGCATATTATGTACTGTATGCATATTATGTACTGTATGCATATCATAACGGAGTCGGTTGATTTCTTGCCACCAATCAATGTCAATATCAATCATGAAAAAATGCTGTTACTTTTTGTGTTGCACTAGTGACAGCACCCCTGCCGTTCAATTGAACCTAGTGATATCATGTGATACCTAGAGATTGTGTCCTTTTGTGTTGAGTATTCAGTCCAAGAGCATCATGAAGCCTCGATGACACTTGCTGCACACAGTATCCAGCTATCCTCACGGCTGTGCCGGCACTTGGAATTACAGCGAGTGGACAAATGGCCAGGGAAGGAACGTGGAGGTGTTCATGGGCTGGTTGAGGCTAACGATGAGCTGATGCTCAAAGGCGGTTTCCCATTGGAAGATGGCACAAAGTGGCAGCCATTGCCCTTGGTTACAGCAGAAGCTGTTGAAGTTCCACGTGAACCACAGATGCTAAGATCTCCTTTGTTTGAAGTCACAGAGGTTTGCTGTGCAAATGTTGACACTTTGTTTGCTGCCTTGACTCTGGGAGACGCCTGTGCCCTTAACTTTGCCAATGCCAGTGTTCCAGGTGGAAGATATCGCAGCGGCGGCCTGGCACAGGAAGAAGATCTGTGCCGCCTTCTTCCACAGCTATACCCTGCATTGAAGTCCAGCCATTATCCCATCCCACCTGGTGTTACTTTAGTTGCACGAGACCTGCAAGCGGTGAGACGTCCTGGAAGTCTGCATGAAACTTGTGCTTCACTTGGCAGCGTGACGATTTTGACCGCTGCCATGCCCATTGGTCCAGATCGCAGGCCTAAAGGAGGATGGGCCCACTCGGATTGGGCAGCCGATGTGACCTTACGAATCCGTTCAGTCCTCCACGCAGCCAAGCACTCGGGTCATCCCAATCTGGTGCTCGGTGCCTTTGGATGTGGCGCTTTTGGGAATCCAACAAGACCAGTGGCAGCCATTTTCCGTGAGCAGCTCATGTCCCCTGAGTTTCGCGGCGTTTTTTCAAAGGTGGTCTTTGCAATCATCGACCCGGTCGGCACGGGAAATCTGAAGCCATTTAGGGAGGAACTGGCCCAAATCCACCAAGGTCTAGTGCCACTTGGGGCTTCACATGTTTCACCCGGTCCAGAGGAAGTAGTGGCAGAAAATCGATCCGGTTAAAGGCTGCTGGTCCCATCACATGGCATCACATGGCATCCCAGGTCTCAGATAGGCCCTTTGTCATGGCATTCCCACAGTCATCAGAGTTAAAGTTTTCGGAAGGTTTCTGAGAGTCTACAATTTAGAGACTAAATCAATCTAAATCAATTGAATGATGAGACTCTAAATCAATTTTTCATGTTGAGAGCATTGGTTTGCTACGAATTCATGCCTTGATTGATCTTGATTGTGTGTCTGTGTACGTCGCACCTGGCTATGGTACAAAGATGTTGTACCAGATGATATTCAGGAACTGGATGGATTATGTCAATTTATGTCATGTATACTATATACTATAGACATCTATATTACATTATATTCCTATATACTATAGACTCTATATTACATTATATTCCTATATACTGTATTTGTATGACGAGTTTTTGCTCGTCACAGAGCTACACGCTGATCAGTTCAAGCTGAAGCTCACGCTGATCGCGCTCCAGCGATCTTGGATGGCGAGGAGGCTGGCCGGGGCCATGGGGCCACATCAGAGATGGCTGGGTGGCAATATGTTGGGGATTATCGATGTTTACCCGGCCTGGTAAACATACAAAAAGCTATTGAAAATGCTGATTTATAGTGGATTTTCCCATTAATAGCATGGTGGATCTTTCCAGTTCGCTATGTAAACGTTTACCAGAGGGTATTACATTTTTTAATAGGGGAATCAGGGGGACCCATGGAATCCCCAGCCAAGCAGTATGATTCATAGGGATGACATCAGCCGTTTTTTCCGGATCATATGACACCTGTGAAAGGACCTAGCTCCTGAAAGTGACTTCTGCGGCAGGTGTACGCGCGGATGCAGAGAGAATTTGAGCAGAAGTGCAAGGCATGCAATGGAACTGGCCAGCACCTCAAACCTGTGTTTTGTTCGCATAAACAAAGGTACATATATAGTCTATATGACTATGATTACTCTATGAAATCATTAAATACTACTCGCAATGGTCTACAAATGATTGAATTATGGCCAATGATAATTATATATAATTATATATATAATATGTGTGTGTCTAAAAGAAATCTTTTGAATGCTATTCGATAGCGTCATCAGCATTTTCCCCGTGGTTGAGGTTATGTCGGCTGGTTTGGCCCACAAGGTGCCTTGGCAACATCAAACTTGGCAACATCGGAGACCCAAAAAAAGACCTGGGAGTCTTGTTCTGTTAATGCATGTTAATGACTGTTAATATTGTTGATAACTATGTTGATAACTATGTTGATAACTATGTTGATAACTATGTTGATAACTATGTTGATAACTATATGATATAGTTGATGCAGTTGTATGATGTTACAGTAATTTACAGTATATGATTTTATCCATTGACGATGATAGCAACAACATGATTAGGTCAGCATACGAATCAAACTGCCGGATTGACCCCAAGCCAACTTACATTATTGCAAAGTCGTTGCTTTGTGGATTTGTTGTATAATTCTTAGTGGTTTGAGGATTTTTTCCAACTAGTGGATTTGTTGTCTTAGGAATGCTTGTCTAGTGGTTTCTTTGATTTCTTGGCACTCTCTCTCCGGAAAAGCTGTCCTGAGGCTGGGGATTTGTCCAAAGAAAGTGCCGCGACTGTAGCAAGTGACGCAAAAAAAAGGAGCAGCTGCTTGCCTTGACCACTGCAATCGTCTTCGCTGAGGGAGTAAGCAGCCAGGTTTGCCGTGGCTTACCTGCAGATGCACTACAAGCTGCCACCCGTGCGGTGGAGGTAACTCAGCAGTGAGGATGATGTGGACTTTTGGTCTAGTGAGAGGATGAGAATGAGGATGAGGAGGAGGAGGATATGATGATGATGATGATGATGATGATGATGATGATGAAGTTTATGATGAAGTTTATGATGAAGTTGATGATGACGAGGAGGAGGAGGAGGATGATGCCATGGAGCACGTGAAAAGCTTTTGTTCCAGGCCTTTCGAGAAGGTGGTGATTTGGCGGGGCTCGCATCGGCCTTGCGCACGTTCAGTCCTCGGAATTCTGCCACCTTCACGGCGCATCATGTTGCATCGAGCTGAGGCTCGCTGCTGCACATCTTCAGAAGAAGTCGTCGCACCAAGCAGCCTCAGCAGTTGCCTCAAAGCCAGCAGAAACACTGCATCCGCAAGTGTAAACCAACGCCCAGCATCGCCCAACCACATACAAGGCGGCAGATGAGTGCGGAGCCCAACTGAAGATGCTGAATCATACATCGAGGCTGACAGATCAGCAACCTGCTGGTGTTTCCAAGAAAACTGCTTAAATCCAGACACACTACTGTAGGGTCCGCGTTTAGGACACCTGAAAGATCTTGAAAGTACAGTAGTATGGCGGCATGCCGGTGTTGCTTTGGATCCATCATGCGGTGCAGAATGATGCAGATGCAGAGGATGTAGGAGTCTCCAAATTCTTAACAATCTTAACACGCTTTCTGAAAAGCGCAGGTGGCTCAACAAAGTGAGTTTACAGCCCTCATCAGACCTCTAATATCCTTTAAAGAGATATTATTTGTGTTTAAAGATTAAAGTCTTTAGTCACCGCATTTGATGGATAAAGAGACTAAAAGAGATGCCACGCGGCAGGTCCTGGTGATTCCGTTGCTGAGGTCTTGTAGCATTTTCCGCGACCTCGGCGATCGTGCAGCAGAGGTGTGAAGGAAGGGGCCCTCTTCCTATTCTGGTTGGGGGTCTCAAATATCTATAATTGAGTATGTTATGTATTTTAATGTATTTTATGTATATACATGTATTACATTCATGGGTATTAGATTATATATGTATATGATTGTATATGTATAATACTTAATTATAGAGAGAAATATTATTTCTTTATAACCATACTCATGGTGATTGCTCTAGATGACAAGAATATTTTGAGGATTTGTCAAAGCTACCAACCAGCTATTGAATTTCATGGTTTGTCCAAACATTGATACATGGGACTGTCATGCATTTTCTGTGTTTCGCCTGTCTCACTGGAGACTCAGTTTTCAAAGTGCCAGCATTTCTCCTGTTTATTGTTTTGGGTTTGTCCGAAATTTGGATATCCCTGGCCACTGGTTAAACATCATACCATCACCATCCCTATTTGTTTAATGGCTTAGAATGGGGGTATACCATATTTTTCAGAGAAACCACCCTTATTTGGGTGGTTTGGGCTGGAGAACATGATCCGGGATGACGTTCAACGCCACGCCTGCAGTCGCGCCAGGTGGAATCGTTGCTTCAACTTTCTGTGGCGCAGCTGGAGGCGACCCACGCTGGCCATTTCTATTCCATGCAGATCAGTTTTAGTGCATTGCTACATTGCTACATGATAATATTTAACTATATATATGACTATATGACATGCAATAGATATATGATGTATTATGTCTAAGAACATAGCTTGTTAATCACGAATCATGACTAATGTCAAGCCCGGATCAAAAAATTGGCCCCAACTCAGGGATGGGGCCTGCAGGCAGATGCTCAGCAGGAAGCCTTAGGTGCTGTCAAGCGCGCGTGGAAAGCTGAGAGGGGGAGGGGGAGGTGTTTGGTAGGCGACTTGGCACTTGGGAAATGGAAGAAATCGTATGATAGGACATAAGATATAAGATTTAAGATATAATGACATCGATTGATATATCATGATATATCATATCAATATTGTAATATGCGACTAGTATACGTGTCGTTTGCATTGATGTATACAAGGAGTATCATGTCTTGCTTTGTGATATTGACATGTTGGACAGTCGTTATCCGAAGAATGGGAGGATCTGGTCCATTGGGATCCATTTGGTCGAATGCAGCGATAGCTGAGGCAGGAGTTGTGCAAAGCCATTGGGGATTCCCGACGCCATGCCATGGCGTTCGCTGTCCCAGTCGCCACCGGGATGTTTTATCCATGTCAGATCATCCATTCCCTACATAGATGTGTCATGATGTGTCAGAATATGAGGTATACCCTCTGGTGAACTAACATAGCAATGGAAAATCACCATTTTTAATAGGAAAATCCACTATAAATGGCCATTTTCAATTGCTATGTTAGTTCACCAGAGGGTACCAATGTATACCATGGTATACCGGTATACCACTTTAAAAAAAAAAATGGCTGTTTTATGATGAAGATCCATGGGATTTTGGGGCCCTGCTGCTGCACAAGGAAAGAACTTGTGCAAGTGGTGTGGAAGCCCAGACATCGAGCCGCTGATCACTTCGCAAAAAACGGCATTTTGAACTGTACCCTCTGGTAAACTAACGTAGCTATGGAAAATTGACCATTTATAGTTGATTTACCTATTAACAATGGTGATTTTCCATAGTCATGTTAGTTTACCGGAGGGCGGGCAAGCCAGTGAAAGAACTGTTTGGAGATATTTGGAAGTACTAACCTCAGACTGAAATTGATCATGCCATCTCACACCAATTATCAAACACATTCAGGTATGCCTTGTTGCGTTCATTTCGACTGGATAGCAGAGTCTCATACCACAACGAACCTTGATCAGTTGTAACCTGAGGCCGAGAACTTCAACAAAGACTTCAAGAGCGGTTTGTGGGCCCGGGCCTAAACTTCACCGAATGGAGTTTCCAAGTTCCAATCCCGGCAAATTTTTCCCGGTAGAAACCCTCGGTATTAGATCTATATTTTGGCATTTTGGGATCCCTCATTTATGCGGGAATGGGATGATATATCATATTGGCTATATCTCCCAATATATCTTCCAGGTGTCTCGCAGTGTGCCATATTTTTCATGATTCTTCATTCATTATCCCATATTATCCCCATATTATCCTATGTTATCAGTTGTTATCCCATATTATCCCCGGATATCCCGGTATCCTTTTCTGGCCTCACCGGCTGGCCTGGATCGACCTTAGGTGCCTGGCAAGGGAATGGCTGCAAAGATGGCCAGTGGCATTGGAGGAAGTTTGGAGCTCTGATGGCGGGGTAAAGACGGGGAACAAGTTTGGGTAATGATGGCTGAGCAGCTACACTATATATATATATACATTTAAAAAAAAACAACAACATATATATATATATTAACTTTTTTGATACGGAAATTATGACATTTACTGTGTAAGATGTATAAGAATTTACCCTTTGGTAATTTATATTTTAGCATACTTATGGAAAATTGCCCATTTGTAGATGATTCATGATGATTTAACTAGCAAAAGTTGTAATTGTCCATAGCTATGTTAAATTACCAGAGGGATCCAGATGGTATGTAAATACGTAGCACTTTGTAGAATTATGGTAGTATATACTTTATGGCTTAATCTGTTGCTAGGAATTGGGAGAAGGACTGTATGAACCAGCTATTTTTTGCATATCTAAGATTGGCCACATACTGGAAGATCATGGTGTTTCCCTTGGATTTAAGCGTCATGGGGCATGAATCTTGCCAACATATTGTAACATTCCATCACCACCAGCTGCGTTCATTTTCAGTGGAGGGGTTTGATCCACGACCATGTCAACTGGTTGATGCTCCAGGAGAAGAAGTGCGGAAGCAGAAGTTCTTTCCGCAAGTCCAGTGGCAGCCTCGAGCGTTTCTGCACAAAAATGATGGGATTGCTGTGCTCGTTTAAATTCCTGCCATCATGTCTAGCTGTTATGCCAGTCATCTCATCAACTTCCTAAGATCTAAGACTAAGACAGTTCAAACACATAAGAGTCACAAGTGAAGCATCAGATCAACAGCATGCTGCTTTGCAGTAGCACCTTTTGTTCGAGCATTCTGAAAGTTTCAAGTTCCCACAAGGGCATCTCTCAAAGTCTCTTACCTCTCTACTGCGAAGGCCTGAATTCGTGGTGGCATCGCAGAAGCAAGAGGCCTCTGAGAATTCTGAGATGTGTTTGCAACCCATTGCAACTTGATGCAACTTGATGCAACTTGCTTTAAGCGCTGTTCATGGCTAGGAACAGGAGCAACAGATGCGTGGCCGACGCTTTGGCCATACACTTAGCTTGAAGTGAATCAATCAGACAGCCATATGCCTGTTGGAAAATTATGCAATTGTTTTTTTAAATATATACTGTAGTCTGGTAGGCTGGCACATAAGGCACATTGATATTCCGTTGCTGTCCGAGAATCATTGCCAGTGACCAGAGAGATGTCAGGTCACGCAGTCCCATTTCAGAGAAAGCCATATCCTCAGAGAAATAGCATGTACCAGTAGGCCCTTAGCTTAGCTGAACTCTTCGAGAAGGCGATGGAGGGAGGGGGAGAGAGAGAGAGAGAAAGAGAGAGAGAGAGAGAGGAGTGAGAGATTACCCGCAATTTCTCATCAGTGTCCATTGACCCAGGGTTGAAAGTTGAAAGTATGGCATTCATTGTGGCAACAGAGAGTGTCGCAGCCTATTGTTGATCTAATCAGTCGGCTTCCCGAGGCCTTTTCCATGGACTGCCAAACAAGCTAACGTTGGGAGCTTGGATGACCCTGTTTGAAGCCTTACTGCCCTTGCTGCTTTGCATCATCGGAGCAATTCTGGGCCATCCACAGAGATCTTTGGGCAGCTGCAGGATACGCAGATATCATATTCGATAATAATCCTTTCCCCTTAATACGAAACACATTCAAACACTCCCATATCAACCATGATAACCATGGC